TAATAGGCGTCAGATTAATTAATGTTTAATAGTAAGTTATTGTTAGTCAATGTCACTAGGGAATATTGCAAAATCTTTGATAATCTCTTACCACATAACATCTGTTGCTGTATTACACATAGTGTTAACTAGATAGTTATTATTCCAGAAGTCTTCAGGGTTTCCAACTTGTTTCCTACAGACAATGATAAGGTGGAAAAGGTTGACAAGATTGGGCAAAAAAGTACTTAAGGCCTTTTGTGGGGATATAGCCTATATGTGTTAAAAATCAAAAAAATTCAAAATTTCAAAAAGGTGACTCAGTTCTCGTTTCGGGCATTACATGACATTTTGGTCTCAATAAAAGACAAATCATCTTTTTAACTTTCAAATTAATTCTTACTCAGAATTCTTACAACTTGTTAGAGAGTTATGCTAAACATTGAATGTAATTAATGATATTCATGATCATGCAGTACCTCAGTTGGTGTTATGAATTGAACATCTGCCTACTACTGTGATAACTGTAACATGTGTTAATATATGCAGTGGTATTTAACACCTTCAAACTAATTATTACAATTTATGTAAATTATATGTCATTTTAGAATGTTATGTTGTATGTGATATCCTACATGGTATATCATGTTATTGTTTTAATGTAGTATCTAGAAGAAATAGATTTGATCTGACTTCTCTATACAGGCTTTGAAAAAAAAATCAGTATATTACACTTCCCTAACTCTTACACATTTCTATCCTGTTTCTCTTTAGCTGGTAAATCTTGTAATGAGAAATATTAGTATGTCACATGATTTTCAACAATCAATCAACACGCTTGGAGGAAGCCATATTTACATTTTGTTTTGTGAATATGAACACATGCATAAAACATGTAACTACCATTTTGGATAAGGTGAAATGCAGTTTGATATCTGATAAGGGAACGTAGTTTTAGCTTTCCAGAATTAGGTGGTAGTGGTATCTAATGCTGATATCATTTTTGTTATGAAGGATTCTCATTTCCAGGTTTCTTATTGTTTACCATTTATATGATTCTGAATCTAAAATAGAAGTGAATGAGTCTACATGTATCCAGGGTAAGTGGAAAGATCAAGTTAGATCTGTAGAGAATTAAAATCTGAAATTTATGTTGATATCCAGACAAATAACAATTTATATGAAAGAGTAATATTCCTGTGGAGATTTCATTGTCTGAGAAGTGCCCATTATGGTGAAACAATATTTTGACAATAATGAAAGTATAACACATGATATTGCTCTGCAGATTATAAAAGAACAGTTTAACATATTTTTTTAAAGGGAAAGGTTTGCCATTTGTTTGACAGATCACACCTTAGTTCAGAAACAGGACATTTTTATTGCTAAGCTAATCAGTAATAGTGTTCGCAGCTCACTGTCCAAATTTGAGCCTTCAAATCTATATGTGCCTAGAATTATCTGCATTTGAAAGTTATAAATGGTGAGTCTGTCACTTTCAGAAGCATATTACAATTTTTCAATGAAAAAAAAAATAATAATTATTCAAAACAGTCCTTAATTAGAGCAACCAGGTATGATATATTTGATTGGATTATTTAAAAGTGTAATAAGTGGTAATACTGGAAACACCAGTCTAGGTCAGTTCTGGACGACCAGACTAGCAATCTGATCAAATATGACATGTACAAGTTAAATAATGATCTATGTATTAAGCCTAAAGGTCTTGACAACTCAGCTCAGTTGAATGTCAAATGTGATGGTATTTTGTGTTTTATTTCGACCTGTCTGGCTCCTTCACATTTAATTACTTCATTTACCTTTCCAATTTAAATTGTCTGATTGAATTTTTATCCCCATATATAATTTATTTTATACTGTGATTTTGACAGATGTAGATAAAAAGAATGTGTCCGTAAGCATTTTTTCAGTCACCATATTTTTGTCGCTAAATTTGAAATTTTCCAAAGCATTGCAATTTTGTAGTTGTCATAATTTTTTGTAGCTAATATTGTTATGTAAGACATGGATATTTTAATATGGGAAATTTCATTCCTGTAACATGTAGTGCAGTAATAATATCTTTAGTATCATATAATGTTACATTTTATTACTTATTGGCATGACAACTAAGGGATTTGGATTTAATTTCAAAATCATTCAATTGATATTTTTGTTTTTTATGTGTCCTTAGAAACAAAAATCCGTCTTTCAAAATTAGAATTTTTTTCACTTATTTGAAAACCGGAATTCTGTGTGATCAGATCAATTTAAGCACAGTAGCAATAAAAATTGATAATAGGGGTATTAAAAAAGATCAAAGTAATACTATTATTGTAGAAATTAATGAAGTGAAGACTGATTAGATTGTATTTATTAAGATGTATTAATATTAGTCTATTGTTTCTATCTTAGTCACCATCTGTCTGTCTACTATCACAGCTCTGTTCCAGGTACACTCCAAATTTGCATTAAAGTGTTATAGCTGTCTAAATATTTAGAAACATTTAGTGTCAAAATTAGTTGCACTATAAAAAATTTTTTCAGTGAACACAGTTTTAGATTTGGTTGACCATTTGGAATGAAAAATTTTGCTTCTTTTGTTTAATGGTGATTGTTTTTTTAAAATTCTGTTAGAATCAATGAGTGTGTAGATTAGAGGTTTGCAGATTTGCAGAAGAATCGAATATTTTGAGTTGTGAAATGATGATTAGAGGATAATATTGACAATATAATGTTATAATTATATAGTTAGATTGACAAGGTGTGTTTTATGTGTTGCTAGAAATAGCCATTATTTTTCTATTGACTCTATCATTCTAACACTGGCCTGTTAAAATATTGATTATTTTAAATACAGATTAAAACACCTTTATCTTCTACAACACCTGAAATATTAAAGCTTACTGGAGTCTTTGTTTAACAAATATTATCATTAGCATATGTAGGCAATGCATTTTTCACTGTTCTATGAATTGTCTTTGATTTTACCCTAAGTCACCCTAAATTTAATCAATATGTTACAACCTTAAGTTCTTAAAGTATGTATTAATGATTGTTTGGGAGGTAGAAATAACAGTAAAATACTAAACATTCCAAAATATGAAACTCAAAGTTATTGCCAAATACTAAAGAAAAATGTAAAATTATTTAAAAAAAAAACCTTATTTCTATCACCTGATGTTGTCCAAATGAAAATATTTCCTGTCCTTGAATAATTTCATTTATTTAGATCTGCTAAACTAGAAATAATATTATTATTTTCTTGTCTAAAGTATTGAATTGTCAGTATAGGTATATAATATAAAAAGTGTTTCTTTTGATTGAATGAATTATTATAATAGTTGTATATAGATATTGAACTTTTTATAACCCTATAATATAATATATACATGTCTAATGATATTATATACATTCTACTTTAATCTAATAACAAACTGGTCTGATAGCTTTACATGTTATGTTTAATCTGTTTTGAAACATGAATATCTGTCTTTCTTTTTATTTTTTGTGCTGAATGTGCTAAAAGAAAACTGGAATATCCATACATGATATTTCATACAAGGTAAATTAGTAATAGTTTAAATTAATGTGTTTGACAGAACATAAAAGAGAACATCTTTACAATGACAAGCTATTACGAACTAATGCCTTAATTTTCTTAGCCACTCTTGTATGTATCATGGAATGCAGCGATTTGATTGGAATGTTCGCTAGCGAATAAAACTGAAAAAAATCGGGCTTATTATTTACAAACTTTCATCCCAGGGTTCTGATTGGCTTTTTTCGCTATGAAACAATCCAATTAGATTGGTGTATGAACATACTTCCGTCATACAAGAAAAGTGGCTTATGAAGTCAAGGTATAAGATAAAGCTTGACATTGTGAAGATGAAATAAGAAAGGATAAGGTCATGTTACAACTAGTTAATGTTTTTCAGAAGTTAATTCTGTTGAATGTATACACATGAAAAAGCATGTTTCGAACCTGAACTGTTAATTGTTTAACTAAAAAAACTTTGGTAAAATAAATAGAGTAAACTATCTGAAACTGACATGGATTATTTTTAATGAAAGGATAGTCGAGGTTTTAACATTTGTGACACAAGTTGCACCACCAGTTACAATTTAACACAGTCAAGATAAGTGTGTCTTTTAAACTTTGGAGTTTCAAGTAGGAAATCTTGTTGATTTTAACCTTAAAGTGTCAGTAATTTTTTTACAATCTAAAACTTTTTTGCTATAACGGCTAATATACATGAAGATAATAAACTTTTAAATTCAAACTTACTTATCAGATACACTGAATTATTCTAGCTACAGAAATAATGATAACGATAATACACAGGACTTATCTTCGAAATTTACTTTTCCATGTGAAAATTAAGAGGTTTGGTAAATTATAGAGATTACAATCTATGGAAAATCTGTGTAAATAACTTGCATTGAGGTAAACCCTTGTAAAGTCAACTATTGCATGATGTTCTTATCATGGAACACTAAGATTCTTGTACAAAGATCTAAAAGAGAATTGTTGAAGTTTAAGTTTAGAACTAGTGTAGAGTTAGACCCTAGAATAGAGTCAGCTAATGCTAAATGTTCTTATCAGGGAACATTAAGATTCTTGTACAAAGATCTGAAATTGTTGAAGTTTAAAACTTGTATGGAGGTAAACCCTTGTAGAGTCCCCTAATGCTAAATGTCTTCATCCAAATCATGAAAATATCATGAAAACTTGTACATAGAAAGAAATGGTGAAGTTTTAGTTTAACTAGATTAATTACAACTATACACAGTATGATTGTATGATAGGTTAGAACCAGAGTTTAAAAGAACTAAGAATATTGATCTGTATGTCTGCTATTATCAGGCAATATTCACTCTAGAACCATTCCACGTCCACTAGTTCTCCATGTATAGTCATTACTGACATCCTCCAGTCTACTCTTTACATTGATAATGGAATGACATTAATATACAGGCTGACCATGACATTACTTATATTGTTGATGATGTACAAAATGACCATTGGATTTCAAGGGTAAGTTGCATTGCTACCAGCTTTCTTCAGTTTTTCTGCATTGATTGATACTGTTGTGAAACCTGATTGTCAGAAAGTGGTTAGATTGGAAAGGAATTAAAGATTAATGAAACGTGTCAGAAGAGTGATTGCGACAGGTTGCTTGGAGCATTGATGAACTTTCAAGGCATAAATTGCTTAACCTTAGTATTCTCAGTTGCCTTTTTATAAAGTGTTAGTTATCAATGGTTTTTAAGGTGTATACTGCATGATTTACTGAGATAATGAAGAGTCACTCACAATTCTATGAAGTTGAGCAGAAAAATTGTGTACTAATTGGTCTTGACAGAGTCTCTCACAGGGCTTTTTTGATTTTCATCTATTTAAAAGGATCAAATTCTTAATTATGACCTTCCCATTGACATCACTAACAAGGGAAATGGGATCAAAAGTGATAGTTTAATGTGTTTGTGGCCTCTGCTAAGCTGCATATTTGACAGGAATGTAAATGCTCTGATGAAACAAACCATTTTTTCTTTAAGTCATGAAATCTTTGGATAAGAACAGGTTGCCTTCGAGCATCGTGTCAAATGTTAAAAATAGAGATTGCTTGATTAGCTTGCATGCTGTTTTTACTGAGACAACTAGAAATTGTCCATTATTGAATTTTTAAGACTATTCTGTCACACTATTAACAACTGTGTTTACCAAGTCTCCGGAAAAAAATGGATTTTCTTGGAAATTATGCAAGTGTTTTGTACTGAACTAGACGGAATTCTTACTGTGAAAACTACATATTGTAGAAAATAAGGGAAAATTTATTCAGTAAATTTATTATATACTGGTGAGCCACCTGGGATTTCCTGTTTGTTTCTATTCTTTTTCTTAACAGTTTTTCTGACTCTATCTACAGAAAATAATGATTTCTGTTTTGATAATAAATTCATGTATGCTAATGTATATCAGAAAGATACAATCTTTATTAGTAACAAGTTATTATTGTAAAAATCTACAATGGTGGTATGAAAAGTTCCTCCAGAGTCAGCCTATGAACATTCAAGCCCACCCTCGTAGTTGTTCTGTATGTTTAACAAAATTACACACTGAAACAGATGTTTAATGAGGAATTTTATGTTGAAATTATTGTGTAAATTTATGTGTAATTATATTGATAAAATGTCAATGTTATCAGAACTGTTGAGTAATTTGTTATAGAATCCTAACAACATCAGAACTATTCGAATACCTTGTCTTTCTAACCATTGATTTTATAGATAAAAAATGTATATAATTTAGAAGTCTCAGACTGAATACATTAATCAATGCCTGTTTATTTCACCACAATACTCTGTCCAGACTTGAAATTCCAATTGGAATTCTTGAATCGGAAAATATTATTCCTTTTATGCCAAAGAAAGCAGTTAAAACTCTACACAAATCTGAGTTTTTTTTTACTGTCAAACTGTTTTTAATGATGACATTACTAGGCAGATCTTCCAAATGGCTGTGAATTTGTTTAATGGACAGTTTCCAATTGAATTATATATCACTTACTAGTATTATGAAGGATTTGATTAAATCAAAATTGATCAGGAGTTAAAATGTTATATTAAGTGTATGGGAAGAACCATTAAAAAAGATTTGATTCTATTTTTTACACTTATGCATTTTCATGGAAACAATGAATTGAAAATGGAATTTTACGTTCTTCTTTTCTGCACCTGATTGGACTTATAATTAGGGGATAGAAATGCTGAAAAAGTGGCACTTATAGCTTCGCTTCTAGCTGAGTTGATAGTGTCATATCTATTAGAACTTATTGTCAGCAGTCAATAGTTTAATTAAAATAGAATTTCATGCTCTAGAAACATATAGGTCAGCTTTAATGATACAATAAACACTGTTCTTCATTTCAATATTGTTAAGGTTCCTGACATTGATTTTTTCTTGTACGGTGTCTATTTATACTGATACTGGCTATAGATATACTGTTGCAGGAATTTATAACATGGAAATATTACTTTCGTTTGTAAATATTGAGTATACATATATATTAGATATTGTAATCTTCATTTGTAGTATTCGAAGCATTAAGAGTTATGCAAATGTGGAATGTCATGTCACTTCGTTTTTAGTGATACTGGAATAATATTAAAAAAAGCAGATTTTGCATTCTATTATATTTGGCAAAGTATTGATTAAGTATTTGATACTGCTTTATTTAACCATGTCAAATCAGTATAATAACCATTTTTGTCTTTATAATTTCAGATGATGATGTGAAGTCAAAATGAAGGAATTATTAACCCTAGTGAGCCCGGTGTATAGAGTGTACTTAATATTAGTGTTCATAACTTTCAGCTATGTTCATTCAGAATCTTGGACGTTTAATAATCCAGGAATATCATATATCGGATTCTCACCACAGTATACCAGTGGACAAAGTCAACATATAGAGTTAAAATTCCGAACTCGTCAGCCAAACGGATTATTGTTCCATCATTATTTATTACCATTTGATAAAAATAAATTTCCATTGTTATATCATTATGAATTATATGCTGAGATACGAAAAGGATATTTACGTGTTGGACATCAAGTTAATCAGTATTCACAATTATTAACACTAGGTCAAGGTGAGTCAGATTTTATTTTTCTATGTCTATCAAAACAAGGTTACCAAAAACTCTTGAAAGGCAGCTTCTTGTGGAACCTGTTATGATTTAATCCTTGGATAGTTCTGTCTAAGCATGCTGCATAAGCTGATAAGAGTGAAATTGTGGACGATTTACTCAAATATTACCTGGAGCGAGTTGCATACAAATGCATGATCTAAATAAATCTACAAATAAGGTCAGAGGCATATTTTTGTACGAGTTTGTTGATGAATTAGTTCTGTGGTTCTTCACAATCTACTCATATATTTTATTGTCCTCACTTTACATCTGACATTTGTCTGTGAGTTTGATGAAGGCAGTGGGAATACAGTTAGCATGAAGCCCTAGACAACTTAGATTAAATCTGACCTAATGTAATCCATGTGTCTGTTATATCAAAAGGATGGAATATTGCTGATTATGCAGGTTTTTATTGATTATCTCCAGGGGACCAGGTCACAGTGATCTTAAATTCTTAGAAAATTCTTAACAGTTTTCTTGTTAAGTTGCCATGTTACAAGAAAAAAGAAAGTATCATTTTCAAATTGTCTACAGCGTTCTAAATGATGTAGTTGTTAAATAGCGATGCAAGGTTGATATAGATACAGCTTTATCAAACAACAAACCGTGGTTAAAATTTTATGCAAAATTTCATCATATATCCAGTTGTCCTCAGCCACAATCGTAAAAAGCTTGCATAAAACTTTAACCAGTTGTTTGTTAAAGCTGTGTCTATACTAAACAATACTTGGTGGAGCTGTATTAATGTCCCATCAGCATATGATTGATTGGGAATATGATAAGTATCTATGAGATGAGTAAGGTCATGTATTCAGTGGGGTTATTGTCTTCAAATGTTCTACTGATATTAGAGTTTAAGTTATGATTTTGCATATCATTCACAACTGCTGTGTTTTAACTCACCCGAAAAAATCTATCACCTTATTATTGAAAAGTGTCAGGATTTATTTAAATCATACCATCTATCTGATCTGTATTTTATGATAGTTTTTATTCCTAATGAAAGGTAATAAGCTGATCATAAACAGAAATTGAATTTCTTACTGCTCAATACATCTCAGTAATATTTCATTGTGTAGGTTTCTCTAGTTACTAATTTGATTAGTTATATGTGATGAGGTTGAATAGACTAGGTTTAGATTACATTGATACCAATAACTGTGGGCAACGCTTCAATACCTACAATAAATACTTCTTCCATCAATATCACTTCTACCATTTTAGTTTCTACTAGTGCTGGCAACAAATCCCCTGCTCGTGATGTTTTCATGTTTGATGTTTAAGAAATCAAAAACTTTACGGATTGCAATGGGCAATCAGAGTACAAAACCTCATAAAATAGTACCAATATTGAGCTTTCTCTCTTCATTGTCAACTTCCTTAATTGCACAACGCTTTATCTTGTATATTCTCATCAGAACAGTATAGAATGATATTATCTTCAATTATTCAAGTCATGGTTAAAACCTACAATTTTGTACCTGAAACAAGTTTGATTCAATAAAAACAGGTTGTAATTAGAAGTCTAGAACGCTAGGTAACATTTGGTGGTTTGGCTAGATTGAATCTAAATTAAGCATGCAATATTTATTCCTGTAAGAGGTTTTTAATTACACAAGAACATGAAAGAATCCAGCCTTTTATTCCTCTCTATACATTTACCATCTGTGTAATCAGAGACTTTGTTGTTAAGGTGAATTCAGTTTACCATTAGTGTTATTTTTACTTGCTGTAAGGGCTGAAGGTTATGTAACTTGTACTTGCCAGCCTTTCAAACAGTGAGTCAGTCATGAAACAGTTTTGCTCTTTGCCCTTGAAAACATGCAAAAAATAATTTACATGGTGTATGTAATATGTTTGATTGCACTCAACTTTCAATTTATAGTTTCTAGATCTGGACAGATATTCCATACTGCTTCGCTGATATTTTTCATATATCTACCAATAGCAAACTATTGTGGCCCATCACTCTGTAATAACATTTGAAACGTTGTAACATTGAAGCATTCTTGAGTTGTGGTAAACAGTCAACATTCTGTATGTGAACGCACCTTGAAAGAAAAGACAAGCCATAATAAATATTGTTAGTGTTAATTTGGTAAGGGGGGTGTAAGATGTACCGTTTCTAATGTCAACATTCAGATAAAAGTGAAAGTAGTCAGTAGAGTAAACAGACAAATTGAAGAGAGATTTAGGTCGACACCTTTCCATTGTTCTCATCATCCCTGTCACATCTAAGAGAGTTGTTTTAACGAAGGTGAGGAAAGTATCTTGAGAATGTCAAGGGAGGTCGTGTCTTTATTAACCCTATTAGGAGTGGTCAAAATACCACTATAGAACGGAAGGTGTATGATTTCACTTTCTTCTATATTGTTGTCTAATGGAATAAGAGACAGTTTTTGGTGTTTAATGTTACCTGTCCCTCCCACTGATTTTATGTGGACTTTGTCATACAAGAATTATGATTTGACCTTGTTAATACAATTGATTTTGAATTTGTATATCTTGATATAAATACAACATATTAACAACTGTCTTTTGGATAACTAACTAATTTTGAGTAGCAAACATGCTCCTTCATTGTACATATTACACAAAAAAGCTACTGAATTTTCATTTTAAATATTACTAATGACTGATCTTGGTATGTCCCATATTTGGTTGGCCACTGGAAAATAGCAGCTAGCGACTTTAAGATAAATCTTTAAATAAGTAAGCTTACATGTGGAAAATTTAGAATGAACTATTTACTGTTAGCATTTCTGTGTTATGTTCAATTCTTATCTGGGTGCAGACATTCAAATTGTTTGACAACAATAAAATTTGACATTGACTCAGTGGTAAAGGCTTAATGGGTTACCATGAACAGGTTTTTGGTTCATATCTATGAATTCAGATATTTCTTCTCCAAATAAAACATGTTGAGTTCACATTAAAGTTAAAATACATTATTTCAGGATTAAATGATGACCAATGGCATTCCCTGTCCTGGGATCTAGATTCCTCAGATGGGTTGATGTCTGTTCAACTAGATAATGAAACTAAAAGTTTATCTCTAGAAGTATATGGTTGGGGATCAGGCAAAGAAATATTAAAATGGTCTCAGCTGCCTTCCATTATTTCATTTGGAGGTGAGTAAATCTTGTAAATCTATCCATCTACATTTTGCTGTTAAAAGAGACTGTGGGATGACTGATCTGGAATGACTTATGCCAAATCTAAGACACCATTTACATGGTTTCTAAAAAAGTTGATGATGATGATCAAAATTAATGAACAGTTCTGCTCTATGAGCTTCTTAGCTCCATGCTAGGATTATCATTTTGCAAAAAAAATTTGTGGACTCCCTGAACGAGATGCTTAGTTGACACTCAAAGTCTTACCCTCTGCTGACACCAGTCACATGATTGTTTTATTCTTTCTTATTTTTATGATCTGACCAAAAGCAAGATAATCTTCATAAAGATGATAAAAATTTTCTCTCTTCTTTATTCTAGCAACAAATAAGTCAGAGTCACAAGAATTTTTCTATTTTATTGGATGTTTAGCAGATTTAAAATATTCACGTGAAGATGGGATTTTAATAGCAATACCGATACAAAAAATATCCGGGGTAACGCAAGGATGTAGTGATTTATGTACCGGCAGTAATCCTTGTCAAAATGGTGGACGGTGTATTAATATGTATACTACTACTAAATGTGATTGTTTTGGTACTAATTATGAAGGATCAAAGTGTGAAAATAAAGGTAGGTACCCTGTAATGCCCTATATACCCTGTTATACCATATATACCCTGTTATACCATATACACCCTGTTATACCATATATACCCTGTAATACCATATATACCCTGTTATACCATATACACCCTGTAATACCATATATACCCTGTTATACCATATATACCCTGTAATACCATATGCACCTTGTAATACCATATATACCATGTAATACCATATACACCCTGTTATACCATATACACCCTGTAATACCATATACACCCTGTTATACTATATATACCCTGTTATACTATATACACCCTGTAATACCATATATACCCTGTAATACCATATACACCCTGTAATACCATATACACCCCGTAATACCATATATTCCCTGTAATACCATATATCCCCTGTAATACCATATATACCCTGTTATACCATATACACCCTGTAATACCATATACACCCTGTTGTACCATATGCACCCTGTAATACCATATGCACCCTGTAATACCATATATACCCTTTGTATATATGGTAGACTAATTTGGAAAAATTTGTAGCAAATTTGTTGCATTGTATAATTTTCTTTCAGAAATATTATTTTCAGTTGCAGATTATTTTGTGACACGCTTACACACAGGACCTAATAGACAAACAGAAAGCTGTTCTTGTTCACCTAAATCAGTTGGTTTGCTTGTTGATTTATCAGAGGCCAATATTATATAAACACAGTTGAACTGTTATTAATACAGAGAGTTTATGTCAATACTGATTCTTCTCTGTTATTTACTCTCAATATTTATTACTGTTATAATAAATGATGGTCTTCATCCCTACTGTAATTACTCTGGAGCTTACCTTACAACATAATCATGGTCAATAGATGTTACATTTTGTATCTTATTAGAAAAGGATAATTTCTTCAGCTTTAAATGCCAAGTTTGGCCATTTTCAGGGGATGACTTGGGTCACGAATATCTGTAACAGTCTTCAGAGCATCTGGAACTGCATGAAAAATGCATAATCTCTTCAATACTTGAAATTTCACTTCTTTTTCTATACATGATTTTTTTTCTATATATGGATTAGTATCAAGAAAAGACGGTTCATCTTTTTAACTTCCAAACACAGATTATTCTGGACACACATGTATTTGAAGGCTTAAATTTCAACGGTGAACTTTCTATTACTGATTGGCTCTGCTAAAAAATTCCTGTTTCTGAGACTAAGGAAAGGTATCCCTATGAATAAGAGATTTTATTTTGTCATAATCAATATAAAGGTTCTCTGACAGGAAACCTTACAGTAGTAGTGTCATACCTATTAGTACAATTTGATTATGAAGTCTTAAAGAACACTCTCAATTCACTTGTTTATCATATAATTGTGCTATTTTTCCATCTAGCCAATCATTTAGAATACTGAAGGTGTCATTATAAAGGTATGCTGACAGGATAATTGGCAGTAATGGTGTCATAAATGGTATCCTCTGATCACAAAGACAGAAGAACGCTTTTTCGATACGATTTCGATTCATTAATCCATCATATTTGTGTTATATTTCAACCATTTTGAATACCAAAGGTGTCACAGACAATGAGAATACTTCATGTTCTTGTGGTTTCTACTCCTTATGTTGCCTTAAAATTTTACCAGCTACTTGTGTTATGTCAAACATCAAGACGGTCTCTATTGACTGTCCACCTCCAATCTTGAGTCCTAAACTCTTGTGACTGTTTTTATATAAACATAATGTCAAGGGTTTGAAGAAGGCTTGAACAGGACCAAGATAGCTGTCATGATATCGATGATGTTATAAAGTGTAACAAGAAAATAGTCCATCCTTTCTGTTTTCTTATTGACATGCACTATAAGTAGTATATTTATACATTTTGGAACGGCTACCCTCAAAAGTGTTAAAAAATGTTAAAATTCTTCACCTCCTATTATGAAAGGTAATTCAGGAATATTAATTCGGTTTAATATGCCAGTTTAGAGCTCTGTTGGAAAAATGTATAAGCAAAAAAAGCTTTTAACAATTTGGAACCCTTATTGTTAGCAGATCTAAATTGGCACTGATTGATAACTATTCGGAATATATCTATTCCAAATAAGTAAGATTAGGATTAGCTGTGTGGACTCTCTGAAAGAATTTCCTAGTATACCAGGTCTGATGTAGAGATAGCATATTACAACAAAAGAACTCACTAATATTGGTTACTAGAGAATTTCCATTTAACTTCAAAGATTGTCATGGAAACCATTCAATTTGATTTATCAATTGTTGTGATATGCCACAGAAACCTGAAATTGTCCTAGAAGTTTAAAATTTCTTGATGACTTTTTAATTCTATCTATTATTGGTAAAAGATAACATTACAAAAGATGAATTACAATATTCTTATTTCAACCCTTTTATAATATGAGATTACATGGTTGTTAATGGATTATATTCTAGTCTCAGGCTATATTCTATGATTTTGACTCAATTTATCAGAAGCTCTTGAAAGTAGTTGTATAATTTTATTAATTTTTAAACTCGTATTTATTCATAACATACAGATGAAAGTAACCAATCATAAACATTGTGCTTATAACAAAAGAATTCTGACACAGATTCCATAGTCTCAAATGAAAGACTTCAATTCCACGAAGTCTGTTATAGTAGGTCTAATGTGATGAAGGATCTTGGCTATATTCAATGATTTTAATCAAAACCTACGTGTAATATGAATTCTCAAGTGTAAGATGATTATAATTTTGAGAGACTCTTAGTATTAAAATTTGAGGTGGGATGAGAAATCCTTGTGGGCTAACACACAGATTAGTGTAAAGATCAAGTTTTTCACTGACACAGTGTTAGTTGATTCAACAATTATATCTTAACCATTGAACTCTCACTTGATCTCGGCAATTCATCTCTTCTTTTTATCTCATGACATTTGACCTATGGGGCTGATCTATATTGGTTCAAACTCTAAATCTCTGAGGATGGATAAAGAATGTAGTCAGCTATTTTCTGTGCATCTGGTTAACCTTGTTTACCAGTTAATCTAACTGTCGTTAGTTGTAATTACACACAGGATCTGTTTTCGCATACAGCACTGATCACTTCTCAAACATTCTTAACATTTTTCAAACTGTCACAATTCTGCTTTTAACACTTTTATCAGAACATCCTCTTGTTTTCATTGACAATCACATAATCCTTTCCTAATAATTACCAATTCAATCAAATTTTATGATATTTTTCATATTATGCCTCTTTTCTGATATATTGTGATATGGGCTCACACAAATAAAGCAATTCCTGGAACTAAAGTTAGAACTGTTAATTCATTTTGTGGAATTTGAGGTTTGTTGTCAAAATTCTTCACTATAAACCATGATATAGATGCATAAGCCTATAAAAGAACACCTACTTAAACAGATTATTCAATTGATAATTCATCAATCTATGAAACTTTAAAACATGTTTCGATTTATCTTGTCTTAAAAGAAACTTTCATCATTTTCCATTCTATCAAATGTTTAAGAACCTTCTCGAACTGTTTAATGAACTAAATTTTTGTTCTACTTGATAAAGATGAACTTGATATGATCATCAAAGGTTGTTTAAATTGGTTCTTATTTATCTTAATTGAATGGTTTATTTTTCTAATAATTTTCAATAAGTATGAAGTGTTCTGAAGACCAAGACCTCATCATTTGTCAAGTTTTATATTAATGTGATTGAAGTTTATACTTATCACTGATGAAAAATATTCTAAAATATGGTAATTGGGGAAAGTAAAATCCGCGTTTTTCTAATTTCCATTCAGTACTTTAAGTTGTGGATGAAAAGGTTTTTCATGTTATTTATAAAGTTTGAAATTGAGATTTAAAAATGAATCTTTTTGAATGCTAGAACACTGTTTTATTTATAACCTTTTTCAATCCTCTTTTCAGTCTTTCTTTGCCTTAGGAAAATGTTTCAAATTTTAAAGTTTATGACTGATTTTTTCCAGGTGTTACTACTATGACGTTTAGAGGTTATGAATGGATCCAGTATAAATTGTATAACAGAAAAGAAGATAAACTATTTTCTGATCAGAATAGAATATCTCTTGAATTTAAGGTAAGTCATCTTTTGATCATTGATGTATATGTATCAGAGATATTCAACACACATGTTCTTTGTATTATTTCTGAAACTTTCCAAACTCAACCCCATTTTTTGCACCACTATAGATATGAATAAGATTATCCCAAAATCAGTTACCAGTAATAGTTTTATTTAAATATCTTTTTGCCTGTATTCTTGATCAATATGTTTCTGCTTATTGCTTTTAAAGAACCTTGATTGCAAATTTACTTTAAGTTCAGAAGGGCATCAATATTTGTGTAGCTGAAAATTTACAATAGTACATGCTTTTATAGATTCAAATTTCAATAGGTTTTGAAAGAGTGTGTCATATTTACAATGGCTTTCATTGAACGATTCCATTATGAAAGGTAGAACCCTGAAGCACCATGTTACATGCAATAATAGTTTTAGTGCTTGCTAATGTATTTCTGAATAATTTATTCTCCAAATGTATTTCTTTGTTTTGCCTGCAGCAAATGTACCTTTGTTTTATGATAGAACTTGTTAAAGGGAATGTTGAGGAAACATTATAAATATTTAACTACAGAAGACATCAGTGATTTCTTAAACCTTCACTTATCAGAATCCATGCAAGATAAAGCAATTTCAGTGTAGAGATTAAACTGTATTTGACACCAATAAAACTTCAGAAGCTGTGCAGATAGTTTTAATATAATATAATTGTGTTGGATGAATTCAGAGAGGATGTAGCAATAGCAATCTCTGGATGAAATATTTAAATTTCAACTGAATGATATACTAATCATCTGAATAATTCTTGAAGCTTCATCAGTAGAACAATTTAAGTACCGGTATTGACCACTGTCTTCCCAAGGAACAGTAAAAAATGTATTATTGATGAAGGTGTTTGGACTTCACTTCAGACTTGATTTGTTTCTACAGTCTGCTAATTTTATGGTAACCTTGGGTGAAATATAAACCTTTTGAGCTGACCTTTTTCTTTGAAAACAAACCATTGGCAATGTGTACTTCTGAAACAGAAGCAAAGTTGACAGAACTTTTACTGAGAACATTCAAGCTTAAAACCTTTTTTTGATTATCAGTCTCATAAGGACTACACAAAAAGTTCTGTTTAAAATGTTAATTCTAAAATAAAAAGTAAAAAAAATAAAAAAATGGAAAGCACTGAAGAGAAAAAGAAAAAGGAAGAATATGGGAAATAAAAATCAAGTTGATATATTACCAGCGCTTCAGACTGTTCTTGTCATTAAAATCATTCAATTTACACACTTTATAGATCTAGAAAGTTGAAAATTGATGGCTGCCTAAAATTTAATGTTACAGGATGTCAGGCATGTAGATGGAAATGGAAGTTGTAACATGTAATCAAAGCTTCAATATGTCTTGTCTTTTCCAATTCAATATCTTAACTTGTTTTTTCTGGTGTTGTCTTTGATAACAAGTACTTGTTTAAAATGTGTTTTTATATCAAAGTTGCTATTTATTTAAAACTTTCTTGAAAGTATTATGTTTTTGTTTGTGTTTGTGATTGAATAACTTTCTTGTTTGGTCATTATTTCCATGTATCACAAGAAAAACACTAACCCAAACAAATCTAATTTCTTTGTCAATATTATGTAAAAAAATTGTGATGCATAAGACAAATATTACATGTTTTGGGACGACGCATTGAAAATGTGTTTACTAACTGTGTAAAAGTTGTTAAAAGGTGGCTAATTAGATTGAAATAGACGATTGACCAAGATAATCTGTGAATGTATTTGATGTTCTTTGATGAGAAACTGAGCGTTAAATCTCTTTCACTGTATAACAAGTATTTTGATATAGAGTGAGTTATTTTTATCCCGAGTTGTTGATCCATATAATGGATTTTCTTATCCTTAATTAACCTATATCATTCCACTAAGTTAATTTACACTTTGCTAAGTGTCAATTCATACCTTTGTATGCTCTTTTTGACATGTTGGGAAGGTTATTTCAAGTTACAATGAGGGTCGTTTCACATTATTTTAAGGGTTGTTTTACATCAACTGAGGGTTGTTTCACAGGTTTGTTTAACATCACTTTAAGGTTTGTTTAACATCACTTTAAGGGTTGTTTCACATCACTTTAGGTGGTTACAATCCTCTGAAAGGTCAATTTACATCATATTTAGGGACGTTTCACACCTCTTAGGGTTGCTTCATGTGTATATAGTTAGGTCAGGTTAGTTATGAATTCAAGAGAGATTAAATTCACACAGGTAGTAAAAGTAGTGTGAATCTGTTATCATCACTTTGTTAAACACTCTGTCAATATTGACTTGTTGAGTTAAAAATATATACAACTCTACTTTTTATATCCATAGCTTCCGTATTGTCTATCTTATCTATCTTTTTAAATTGAAATAATTGTTGAATAACACAATCTGTTGTACTTTTAATGCATGCGGTTGTGGTCAGGTGAAAATTGGCAGACAAAATAAAGTTTTAGTACAGTTTTAATGTGATGGATTATTCTTTTTAACAATGATCATGTTTCTTCTAATTTTCATAGTTTTTTTTTGCTTAGTTTTTAACTTTGAATACCTGTGAAAGAAATCAAAAATGTGACAAATGAAACTTTCTTGGATATTACCTCACTTAAACACACACTGAATTGTATGAAAATTAGAAATGATACATGATTCTTCTAATTTCAGTAGAATTTTGCTGTTATCTACATTAAGAGATTTGTCAGCCAAATAATTTTCACTTTTTAAATACCAATTAAAGTAGACAAAAACATGACTGGTATAAATCTTTTTGACTATCACCTCAAAACAGCACATTGAATTGTATGACTATGACTATGGGAATTACAAAATATGTAATATATTTGGACTAAGTAATGTGATCTATATAATATTCTTAAAGATCAATGTATTTATTCCTGAGAGCAAAGAACATGTTATTCCTGCCATTTGATATCAGGTTAAAGTATTCCTCTGAGGAGAAGGCATTATAAAAGTCAAAGATCATGATCTGTAGATGGCCAGGATAATTCCATCAAACATCTGCTATATAGACAGACTATTGGTAATATGATAGTAATAATATTCACAATCATTACAACTTCAATATACTCTTATTATTACCTTGAGAATTCATATCTGATCAAATATTGTCTGTACTGTTTTAACTGGCATTTGCTCAGAAGATTATAGCCTGGTGTATGTTTAAAAAATGATCTGTTCTCAAATCAGTTCTGAGAATGGAACGGAATTTTGTTTTGATTACAGTTGCAAACTGCTACCACAGAAGTGACATGGTCCTTGAACTGTTTTCAGCACAGAACAGAACAGAACAAACAATGTTTCCATTTAAAGAAAAGTTTATTACGCATGTGTATTGACACCTATCCTTTTCCCTTAGTTTTCAAAGGCTGAACGAGTTTTATGGATATACAGCATTTTGCCATCTACTTAGGTTATGAAATGTGCAACTGTTTTGCACATTGCATGATGTTCATCGCCACTATAGTGTAGAACTCAATATCATTTCATTTGTTAACACTGTGAATAATTTCATTGCTTGAATATAAATCTTTGACTAATTTAGTCATGAAATAATTAGCATAAAGGTTCATCAAACCCACAATCATTAAAATTACAGCTCCATTCATTCATTTATAGCTGATAAAGGTGTGGTGGTGATACATATTACTATTACAATACTGCAGAGTTGATGAAGTGCAATATTCTTTCATATGAATACATTGTGGGTAATGATTATCGCATGGTATTTACTTTCAGTCAATATAGCAATTAGTCAATGCCTGTGGTCTGTAAAGATAAGTTCAAATTAACCACCTAATTTCCACTGTGATTGCGGTTCTTGATAACAAAAAAGGATGCATTGCATATGAAACTTTTTATATTTTATGATCTGGTTTCAGTGTTCCAGTCATTCAATTTGTTAATCACTAAAATTTGATTTTAGATTTGGTTTTCTAATCCAATCATCGCTGTATTTCTGAATATCTGATTTTTTTTTTTTCTATATTCAGTCTTTTTTTTAAATATCAGTGAGTAATGAGATATATTCGACAGTCAATTTGAATGGATGCTATAAATATTCGTATTAATTGGTATGACTGTTATTTGATAGTCCAACCATTAAATTCTTTTCTATTCTAATCTCTTCATCATAGTACATTAGTTATCATTAGTTATCATTAGTTATCATTAGTTATCATTAGTTATCATTAGTTATCATCATTTATTCCAGTCTTTTGATGGTAATAACATTATGATTCATACAGGAAGTTATATCTGATTTGATATGATATATGAGATATGATCAGTTATTCACTTCACCAGCTGTAAGAACATAATTTTCGAGAATCAAAATGGAAATTTAACTGTTGCTTTTCAATCTTCATATTAGAAGTCTTCTTGTTGTAATGTTGGATAACCACACCACTTGATACATTTTAAAATTTTGAAATTAAAACCTTGACACCTTCTAAAAAGACAAAATATCTATAAAGAATATCATAACAAAGGATGGATCAGTCGTTTTAGAAGAGTTTACTTTACTAGGAAATAGAACTTTCTCTTTATTGTAACTATTACAAAAGTTAGGACAAAACACCTAGTGGAACTACCACTGGAATTTAAAATGAAAATTGTATTGCCTGTTTCAGAGAATTATCTTAGGGAAATTCTATAACGAATTATCACTAATCATATGACATATCTAGAAAATTAACATTGATAATTAGCATCTGGTCATTTACAATGATTAGATATAATCTCTGTCATTACACTTATTAGATCCTATCAATTACAATTATTACATCCTATCTATTATAGATCCTATCATTTACTATTTTATAAAGTAGTTGAGGTGCAAAATTACTGACTTCAATGATCAGACTTGATTAGAATAATTTACTAGTTCAATAACATGCCTTTCATTTAAAAATGAAAACTGAACATTTTTACAGCCAACACAAAAATATGTGGTGCCGTAGATACCAATATTGATAAAATTTTAAGCATTGTTTTCTCATGTATTGAGTTCAACATTTGCTATCCATAGACTATTGGGCACCTAGTGCATGTTTGCAAATGGAATACAAATAGTGCATTTTGTCTTATGTTTTGTAAGTAAATGTTAGCTTACACATTGGTGATAAAACATAACTGTATGTATTCAATTTAAAGTGCATACCTTTTAAAGCTAGGTGTATAAAATAATAAATTATATTGAAATATAAAGGTATAAACATGTTATAAAGCTTATATAAATTATAATATAATGTTAATTGTGAGAAAGATCAGAAGGGGTCATATATTTGTACTCAATGTAATAGAACCTTCTAATTGCACCTATTGACTTCAGATCAGGAAATATTTGAATGAATACAGGCCCTGCACAATGATTAGGTTTAGTTATTGATGACTTTTCAGATTTTGTAATCTGAGGAAATTCTTAAGGTCAGAAATATAAAAGACATTTTTCAAAGTTCCAAAGATTGAAATTACTTTCAGATGGAAGAACAATAGTCTTGACTTCAGGCAACAATCCAAGAATTTTTAAAATACATTTAAGTCATCTATCTTTCTTTATCAAGTGCTCTTTATAAGAGCAAAACCCTGAAAAAACTTTTGAAGACCTTCAATATTAATTGGAAACTGATAATTCAACTAGCAAAGAAAAAGCTATTCAACTTCCTGTTTTGTTTGGAGGAAAGTCTTTATAAGACACAATATCTGAGTGGCCTCACGACTCCACTGATTTAATTTCCTGTGACCAGATCATTGGATTAACTGGTTGATTTAACCTGCAGGGTTATTGACGTGTATTGGGTTAGAATGACCAGCACTCAGCTATCTCATACCAGCTAACTTGATCCTGGCCACATACTCTCAAAACGATCTTAGCACTTGGATCTCCCAGAAACATTGTTAGAAGTTATGAACCTAGGACATCATAGCCCTAAGATCATTTCAAATTTCATCCCTTATTGAAAGGATGGATAATGAAGGCATATAGGATCAATCTAACTCTTACTGTAGTTATATTTCACTTATTTTCATTCGTATTATTTATTAATACATCTGTTGTCTGATACACAAAAGTGTTTTGATTGGTTAAGAATATTTTTTGGAATTGAAACCAAAATGTACAACAATACTGATTACCATGCCTAAGGCAGGGTTTGTTTACTCCTTTCAAAACACCTGATATCAGTAACTTTTCATTTAATTTTAATAGCGTGGTCGACTATTGTCTTTTTTTGAACAACTTAATTTCTCCTTGGCTTTTGGGCTATCGTATAATCATGTAGGTTCCAGAAAGGCTTTGAGGTTAAGAAGAATGTGTTTAAGTCTGTAAAAACTGGTGAAAAACAATATTAATAGCCCAACAATAAACTGAAGTAGCTAATAAAATACTTACAAAAGAAGAAAATATTATTGTTGGCAATGTGATGTAATTTTAGATAATTTATGAGCTGTATATATTATTTGAACATATGTTTTACCTCATTTTACATATTTCACGAACAGTGATGAAAGTTTTTGAATATTTTTTGTCTTTTTGTAACAAAATTATCAAATTTGAGCAATTTTGATGATGGTGCAGTATGCACATTAGAGGTTCAAAAATGTCCAATTGACAAAAAAATAAATGGTCTACCAGTAATTTTTTACTGGAGGCCCATATTGTAAGCACTAAATAAGACGAGTTTGATTTTTCCTTTATATACTATCAAAAAACATTAGTCCAGATCTACTGATTTGACATACTGTGGCTTTTCTTTTTCTTGATTTGAATTTCCAACCTTCTACAACTGCTTTCTTTTAATGACCTTTTTGTTGCATGTCTATGATGCACAACTGTTAAGGTTTTCTTCTGAAATCATTTTGTTTCCACTCTTTAAATTTTTCCGTATACAAATACATACGGTCTTGCAACACTTGTATTTTATAATGAAATATGATGTATCTATTTCAGACTGGTCGTGGATCTGGTATATTATTATATGCTGTTGGTGGTACACCTTATCATACCCATGTTACAGCTACATTACGTAGTGGTAAATTACATACATCTATATCATTTGGTGATACTACTAATGATCTAGAATTTACAATGGGTCTACAGCTAGATAATAACAGGTAAGTCTATTTAGTTGTTATAGACAGTGACGAAGGGGCAGTTGCCCCACCCCCCTCGCAGCCCCGAAATCAAGCTTTTAGGATAAAAATCTTATTACTAGGTTAGAGATTAGAGCAATCTCGGATATCTAGCTCCCAATGAATTGGATTCTTCTTAATGTAGCTGAGATGATGTATCACTTACTTACATACTAAACAACAGCTAACTGATTTTGTTTTTGATTTTACCAGATAAGTTGGTTAATTTGGGCTAACAAAAGATGTCAAAAAGTCCTGGGCAAAAAAAGAAGCAACAATCGTATGATATTGAAATACCGTAATCCATGAATTAAAATTTAAGAATTTTTCATCCAAACTTAACAAATTAACACTTAACACAATCTGGCAATCTATATACCAAAAAATCTTCACATGTTAAATTAATCACAAATAAGATATATTACTCCAGTAATTAAAGACCATTCAGAATGTTTTTAATGAAGAAAATAATATTGTTGTTAGAACTTATCTCTGTTTACAAAACAAAGTATACTAATGGCATGATTGGCTCTCCCTGACGTGGAACTGGGGGAAAATAAAACACCTCACTGACTGCTTTAGACCACCACTTGTTGGCTGTAGGAATTAAACATTTATTGATATTGTTGATGAGAAATTTCATTGATCAATTCTGCTTTAATTGTTTTGTCCCTCTGTAGTTCAGTTTATTGTATTTATGCTTACTGCTTTGAGTGTATATTACCTTACATGGCAAGCAATGTTCTCATAATATAGGAGTATTTGATTGATAAAAACATGTATTAGACAAAATTCCAGAAATTTGAACTAAAAATCAATATTTACAGTAGAAAGTAAATTTCTGCTGCTACGTGAAATATGAAGTTGATAGATAACCTGGGTGTAATTTATCATATTAAATAAATAACAAAATGTGTATGCACAGATTACTGTGATAGACAGATACATTTAGATTTCACTTAGAATAGGATAAGTTAATCTCTCAAGCCTTGAGACTCAAGGTCTGAGTAGAAGATGTACCATATCTATTACCAGATCTCATAAATGTTTTCACACGACTTAACCTGATAGTCAAAAGGGAGAAAAGGTATAAAAGGGTCACAGTTTGTGTTAGAGGTTGTTTTTTTACTTCACAATTTGTTAAACTGTCCTTCAAGTAAAGGAAAATTTAAAAAGATTTCATAAATTACATATTGTTAAAAAAAACACGGTCAGACATTTTGAAGGACATGACATGACTGTCAAATAATGAAATTAACATTTCAATTAAAGAATATGTAAGTGGTTGTGATGATAAACCAATATGAGGTAATAGATATATAAGATATTTGAAGTATTAAAAGATTGGATAAACATCTCAATAAATCTTATATTAGGTCAGAAAACACTTTCTTATAATCATATTACTATAACCTTTGATGATGAGGCCAGATTTCTGAATAGTAGACCTATAGTCTGAAACATCTAATTCTGTTGGTATAAGAGATGTTGAATATTTGGACAGTTTTCTTTTTAGAAACAGAACCTGAAACATGCAGTGGTGTAGAATGTTTTTACTCCAAGCTTCAAGCTGTGCAATCCATATATAATGTTACTTTGTTGTTGATACTATGAACATTACCATTGCTCAGACACTGATATATTGGTTTCAACTGGTTCAGCTGGCACAATAGCATTACCTATATGTGACCACACAAGATAATATCAGAAAATTTCAAGATCTTGAATATGTGCTAACTGCAAAAATGGATCTTTAATGTACTTTGTGTACCATAAGCTCATAGTAAGTCTATTGGTGCCAACATGCCATTAAATCTCAATTGGTTCCTCGGACTAAGTTTTTACCAATGTTCTGTCAATAAGATGGTAACTAGATAAAGAGTAGAAGTGGTTTATATCTTTACCAATTGAAGGAGATGATATTAATTTGATTCCTATTGACTACTACAGTATAGTAAAGTTAATAACTGTACGTGACTCTCATAGTACATTACTAACTTCAGTTTGTTTAGTTAATTTATTTAGGGGTAGTAAGAGGGTCATATATCAACACATTTCTAATGTTTGATAATGCTGAAATCTTAATTCTCTGGGCAGGGCAGGTATCAAGATATTTAAAGATGATAATAATTCTATGACGTGTATTTGAAAGATAACACCTTTTGTGAATTAAATTTTTTTTAAAATAAGTAAGGTCTAAGTAGGTATAATACAAACCTAAAGTAAGAAAAAAATCCTCATAAAGATTCTTGATATTTATTCAAAAACAAACTAAGCTTATACATGTATAATATTAAATGTACATGTTAAATTTCCCATTGATCAGTCTATTTATATTATCCTGAGTGTCTGATATGGAACTGGTATTTAAGGATACTTAGTAAAAGCCTCTGGCAAAGATCAGCTTCAAGATAAACGTGGGAGTTATAAGACTGCCTTAGTTGTAAATAACTTTCAAAAGCACCATAATGTCATGCCTTTACATTTTACATTTTACAACATATAATTCAATTTATAAGAAAATAGGCTGGAGATACAAGTTTCCTTAAGTTGAGCAAGGAAGATTTTCTCATGTATTAATTCACATAACTGTTGCTCTTGTCCATGCAAATTTGCCTTTATTGTACATAGTTTGTTATTAATGAAGAGGTGGTCCAGAACAAAAAGCAAATAGTTATTTCTAGTATTAACAGATATAGCATTCATGGTTGGCTCTAAATTTATATAAAATATTAAGTGAATATATGAATTTTGTTCATTTCAGATGGCACAATTTAACAATAGTACATAATAAACGTGATATATTTGTATATTTGGATGGTGATAAGAAATATAAAGAAGTAACAGCTGATCAATATTTCCTCAGTTTAGATCCTAATGTATACATTGGAGGTGGTGATAATTTTGTTGAAACAAGAGGTAGGTCTTCATTTAATAAACCTGTGATATATACCCTCATCAAGACAGTTGATTAAGAAATTGGGCACCTTCTCATGAGATCAGAGAAATAGTCAATGGAACTTGCTATTTGGCTGATCAATAGATATGTAAATGAGAAGAGCAATGTTTGATGAGACACTGTCAAACATAATACAGAATAAATTGCAGATTGACAAGTCAAGTGATGTCTTGATCAATGGAGTGTTTGAAAAGATGGCATTAATTATTCCTCGAAATTCTAAAATAAGCTCTGTTAATGGATTTTAATGCATATCCTCAGAATTATACGAATGTAACTCCTTGTAATCAAGTGGTATTATATTTTACAAGCTACCTGTATCAGTTTTCAAGATATCAATTTCAGCACAAGGTTTATATATGATTAAATTTGATATGTTACACTTTTATGTATTGAAAGATGAATTAGATATTTATTTGCTTTCCAGACCACTTTTTTACCGTCATCTCAATTTTCTACTTGAAAAACTAGCCATAAAAACTGTATCTCTTTAAATGATGATTATGATTAAATGATGAATTGAAATAATGTTTATTTTAGATTCACTTTAATACCATTAGTAAAATAGAGAATATGTGAGAAACATGCTTGAAGTAAAAATATTAAATACAAGACCACCCTTATATTGCCTGTGAACAAATAGTTTTGTCTTGCAAGATGACCAGTTGTCAACATTTAATACTAATACCTTCAATACAGCTGGGATTAAATATCAGACTGGAGCATTTCCCTACAGATTATACTGAAAACTGTTTACAACACACATGATAACTGAATCATGTTTCTTAGTTTAACCAGTGACCAATGGTCAACAAGGTTATTGTCAATAGTCAATGAAGGATATTAAATAGTCAAGTACTAAAGATCAGTGCACATTGAATTTTCCTGGAAACATGCTAGATGTGAATACTAATCTCAATAACTACACTGGTTTGGATGAAGAATGGACATCGGTCAAGAGTTTAATTGTCGCTGTTCAAAGATGAGCATTGATTAACTATTGAAGTTTTAGTTTGGCCATATTTTATTTGTCACTTTTGACAGCTGGGTCACCATTGCTTCTATCAATATTGTTTTAATTAAACACCAATTAAGGCCATACCAATCTACTTAATGGTTTTGTAAAACCTGTTCTATTCCTGTTGATTTTTCCTGTTGATCATCCCTCACTAGTGATTTTAAATCCTGATTAAGGACAAATTTTGCTCAGTGGTTTGAAAGTTGATGATGAATATTGTTTTGTGTACAAAAAAAGTTTTCATAAGCTTATGCTTAAAAATGTTAGAATTTATTGATATTGTGGCCAGTGAACATTGGTTGGTTGATTCTTTTAGGTCTGGAAATGAAATGAAATGAATGGAGTTTTACGTCCTACTCTTCTGCTCTTTTAGGTCTTGAAAAAATGATAATGACTGCATAGTCTTGTAACACTGCTTAGATGCATTATTCTAGATATGAAAACTACCATTTTGCATATCTCATTTCAGGTTTACAAGTAACAAGAAGTTTTGTTGGCTGTTTACGTAATGTATATTTCAATGATGATTCCGTGCTTCATAGTCTGAAAACAGGGAAAGATAACTGTGAATATCAAGGGGGACGTTCAGCCCAATATGGATGTGATGCAGTACAAGAAATACCTATTACATTTCCTATAGCTGGTTCAATGTTACAATGGGATGTACCAAGAGAGAAAGAGTTATCTGTATCATTTAGATTCCGTACAGTACGAGAAGTAGCAGTATTATTTAGTATAGAACTATTAGCTAGAGATGGTCTAGGTGGTTATGAATATGGATATCTTGAGGTATTGTTGTTGTTTTTTTTTTTTTCGCTATTTATGTGACTTGCATTCAAAATATAAATAATATTCAAATTTAAACAAAATTATAATTGATAGGTGTTCTAATAGATGTTCTAAGGTTTTTTCTACACAAACAATTACACAATGTGTTAAAAATAAATTGTCTCAAGACATTAGTAAAGTTGACCTGTAATATATTAAAATTCAGTGAATGTTTGTGGTCAGTATTTGATGTTGTCTGAAACAAACTGTATATTATGTGACAAGAATAATTTTGTCAGTATTTACTAGTATTGAAATTTTCTTCATTGTTTAAGATGTTATTGTCATATTATATTGTCTGAAATGCTGATTATGATGGTGATGTATTACATCTGAGTATTTTTTCTGTAACTGAAGGATTCAGATACCATTCAGTCATTGAGAAAGATTCTTTGTATTTCCAAAAACAAAGTCCACTTTTTCAGATATACAGGTTGTTTAATAGGTGAAAAACTAAAAAGTTGCAAACACAGTAGTATAACTTATTGTGCTGATGAACCAAGGATATATTTCACATAAGATTTTTGCATGTGTGTAATCTTAATTGTAGGTATGGGTAAAAGATGGTAAACCATTCCTAGATTTTGTACCATCCACTAGAAATAAAGAGAGTTTCCGGGAGAATCAGTCGATACCAAGTTTAGTTAATAATTCACAATGGCATACTTTAGATCTGTCATTACATTCCAGGTAAGATTCTTCATATTTTACCATATTTATTCATTTTCTCCTTATTTTTTATATAACTATATGATATTTTTGTTGCTTTTAATTTGTATATCCAAGAGTAATTAAGTTGCGTAGTTCAAAATATTTTTTTTTTTATCATAACACTGAAGTTATTAAGTTTGTTTTTTTATATATAGATGGGTAAATTAAGTTAACATTAATACCTAGAGTACATCACATTTTCACTGTTTATAAAGTATATGAATGTATCACTATTATTTATCTTAAAAAAACAAAATATTAAAGGGAAACAGTCCTTTAATGATTCTCATTTCAGCTGATTAACATGAAATAGATATGTTTTTCTCAAAACTAAACTGAAACTAAGACATAAGGTCAAGTGCTTGATTCAAATCTCAATTTTAATAACATCTTTATCTATTTGTGAACTGGATAATGAATTTATCTGTAGTTATTGACTCAACCTTGTACTTTCATTTTGAAAAGTAATACAGGTAGATGCATTATGTTTATCAGCTGAATGACTAGACGACTATATTCCTTTCTGATGACAATTATGTAAAGGATGCTGGTTGCACAATATAAATAATGATATTCCATGCATTGAAAATGTCACACTTTTTCTTAGGCAATCTCAAGATTTTTTCAACACGTCCAAATATTCCTTGTAGGTATAAAACTCTTATTGTATTGGTATATCACTGGTTTAATATAATAAGCTATAAGTGGCTTAGTTCGGTACTAATACTAATAAATATCACTATTATTCTAGATCATTGCCTACTAATCATTATCTTATAGGCTTTATACTAATATAGATGACACTTTATATCCTACCATATAACACAGCCATTTTATCAACAATCTATTTTCCTGAGCTTAATAAGCCTTATGATTTTGGGGTGTAAAGCTCAGAGAGAGAGGGTTATTTTAAGTGTAGGTTACATAAAACTTATAGAATTGCAATATCTTGAATTAGTAAGAAGCCAAATGCTCATTTAAATCTGTAGTAAAAAAAAAACCTATTTTCAGGCTTGTATTGTAGAGGAATTTGAACCATGACAATAACCTCATTGATTTCCTTCGATATCCTTTCAAAATTTTACTAATTTCATTCATTATCATAGTTTTAGAGAGTAGCTTTTATTAGTGTAGATTTACAGCTTTATTTTCTAGATCTACTTTCCGAGTTGCTATAGAGTTAGATATTAATACAACCATTCCAACAGTAATATTTTATGAGCAAACAAACTCAAACAGAATGTGAAAACTGATCAAGTCTGCAAGCCATGAAAACTCAACAGATGGGAAATACAATATTAATTGCAAGAAATATCAATAAAATGCAGTCAATATTCTGCAGAGATTTCTGCTAATTATCATTTGAATCTTGGAATCACGATTCAGTACTGTGATAAATTACTTTCCATTTTTATGGCCTCCATTACTGTTTGCTGTTTGGTTTTTATCATAGAATACAATCAACATTGATTTGATTTTATTATGATCACTGGAACTGTCTCTGGGGGCTGCAGAATATTGCATAATGAAAACAGGATTAAACTAAAATTGATACTTGTTTGAAGCAATGAAAAGGGAAATGACTTTTTTAAAGTCATAAAATTATTCAAAGTGTCAATTTGTCATCTCTTTCAGAAACTCAAGTTACACATTTCCTTTTGATATCAGCAGCATTATTGAGGCTTTGGCAATTATTCAAAACTTGACCATAAATTTTTTTTCATTGATATTTTAGTCAAGCCAAATTAAAGGTGGATCAAGTTTCTATTCGTACCAATGTATACAGAAAGACATTAGAACACCAGGGTAAACTTGTATTTGGTTATGGTATTGGACTACGTAGGTATAAAAGTAAGTTTATGTTAAAACAAAGCTAGATACACTTTGCATGACTTTTTGCATTTTAAAGGATATTTCAAGTATTCATATTTTGAAATTTTCTTGCAAAGAGTTAATATGGGGCATATTTTTGCTGATATTTTCCTCAGAATAAGGAAAAAGAGTTTTCCTTCGTTTAATCTAACATCAATACTGCTTCAAGGAATCTGAAAGAATATCTGAAGGAAATCTAATATATTAACCTTTAATATTATTTAGTGATGTGATTATTTAGATCAAAGAATTCAAAAATGACTGTAATGTTAGCAGATGAAATAAAATGTTTTTTTCACATTTGCAATTGAGCTTAAAGTTTACAAAAGATCTTACTGATTGATCTCCAAGTTATAGATCTTTTAATCTTAAAAAAATCTTTTCTTAAAAAAAAATTGAAGTATAAATATTTAATCCTCTGTTTGCCTTGACTTAATTATTGATTATATATTTTCTAGGATCAGAAGGATTCGTAGGATGTATTGAAGGATTAGTTATACAAGGAAAGTCTATAGATCCTATCAGTATTATGGAGAGTGATAGAGCAGTAGGTTTAGTATTAGATGGATGTAACCTAATAGATTATTGCAGCAATAATAATATATGCCAACATGGTAGCATATGTTTATCAGATTGGGATGGTGTTAGATGTGATTGTTCAGAACATTATGAAGGAAAAGCTTGTCATTTTCGTAAGTATATTACTTTTGAATAATAAATTTGGCTTTCTTCAAAGGCTGTTGAGTCCATTAAAGCTACCTTTCTCAAGTCATACACCTCAACATTCAAAACTTGTGGCTTAGATTTCTGATTGGACAACTTTTCATAAAATCTTAGAAATATATCTTAGCTTATTTAAACTAATTTGCTGTAGTAAATAAAGTAATATACACAATTGCATTAAATACTTCATTTTGATTTTTGCAGCAAAATATCCCAGAACATGTGATGAATATTTTCAATCAGGAAGGAATATGTCTGGTATTTATATGGTAGATTTAGATGGTAGTGGACCATTATTACCAGCTCATGTTGAATGTCAGATGGGTAAAATACATGATCAACATGAATATGGAGAAACAATCATAGAACATAACTTTCATCCCAATACCACAGTTAGACAGCCATCATTTGCTGATAGACAATATCATCTCTCTTATAGGTTAGTTTGAACTATGTATCATAGTCTGTCATATTTTAAATATGTAGTCTGAAGATTAAGTTATTGAGAATTATCTCCCTTGACAGAAGATGGTTAGCCTGAATGGAGATATACCTTGATAGCTCATTATCACTGAACAAAAAGATTTGGAGAATCTGTGACTATGTTTTGAATAAAGGTTCACTTCTAAGATATAACATGATTGAATTTGTCTGCTCTGCAACAATTAGACCAATTTGAAATCTAAATTAATGGTTAGAGTTTTTGATAAATATGAGTTTTGTGTACTGATAATTAAATACAGAGATCAAAAGTGAAATGATATATATATATCTTTGATCTTGTGGTTCTATCATATTTCTATATCCTTCAATATTGATTTATTTTTCCAGGGGAATGTCAGCTGCTCAACTATATGCACTAACAACAGTTTCTGCTAAATGTGAACAGTATATTAAATATGAATGCTACAGTTCACCTATGGAGTAAGTTGCTAAAATTTTCTGTCTTTGTTTGTAGGTTCCATATTTTCCCTGCAAATGTTTCAATGTTGTTTTCTGAGTTATCTTGATTGGATGATTTTATTAAAGTAACCCCTGTAAAGAACTTTGTGTCGCAAACAGATCAAATTTCAATCTTCCGAAAAAACAACTTAGATAGATGTTTGATGATTCATGAATATTGTGTGTATTATAGACTAGGTAAGAAGACTTGGTTTAAAGCAGCTAATGGTGAGATAGTAGATTATATAGGGTCTAATAGAGCTGGTTTCTGTAATTGTTTACCTGGTGAAGAAATGTGTTCAGGTGAACGCTGCTATTGTGATCGTGGTATGTGGATATTTCCTAAAGATGGGTTTCCTTATTTTCTTTTAATCTTAATTTAATTTGATTATTTCGACGACTATACTTATATTAATCGAAAGTAGAGGTGTTCTAATGATTGGAAAAAGTACCAGTTTGTCTCACGAGTCCCTAATTATCTTGTATTTAACTAAGTACCAAGGAAATTCCAATGAATTTTCTCACAGTCACAGCACTATAGAAAGTTCAATTGTCTTTTTTGGATTATCCAATCTGTACATATAAGAATGATATGAATGAATGAAGGATGATGATATGATAATTTGTTACAGTATTCTGTTATCAGATGTGAAGAAATAGATGTTATTTTGTATTGTATGTATGATGTTACAGGTTTAAAAAAATGGGACCAAGATTCAGGTATTAATAAAAATAAAGCTCAGTTACCACTAACAGAAGTTACAGTATTACAATATCCTACTGGTACCGGAAACCTTACTATTGGTCATCTTAAATGTTGGGGCAGTGGTGAGTAGGGGCTTTTCAATTCATAAAGATCTTTGATCATTAAAGATGTAAAATTTGTGGAACGATAACTGTGTTTACTGCAGACATAAGCTTATTATCTACCAACTGATCAGCCGTAATAGATGTTCAATATGTAAAAAACCTATTCATTCAAATATTATATGGTATTCTATTTCAGTCCAAGTTCCATTAGATAAGTCTATCACTTTCATTAAAAGTTCCAGTTATGTAATGCTACATTCCTGGAAGTCTGGAGATTTACGTATTAATATAAAAACAGATCAAACTAATGCCTTGATTCTCTATCAAACACCAGGCAAAGGAATGGGAAATAAATTTTGTATAAAAATAATATCTGGTAAGTTATTAAAACGGTTACTTTTAAGATGTCACTATCCTAGGCCACTTAGATATTAATAGCAACATGTAAATAAGGATTGGAATGGTGCCAATCTATTCTATCAGTGTACATATTCTCTTCGAGGTTGCCATTTGATGTCTTATTTTGAACAATACACCATTTGATTGGATGTCTATTTTCAGCTAATGAAGTTCAGTTTCATTTTGTGATTAATGGTAAATCTATATTAAAGACTATATACACACCTATCTCATTTGATACTGGAGAATGGCATACCATTATAGTTGAACATGATAAATATAATCTTAGATTATCAGTAGATCAGAGTCGTAGTTTATATACATTACGTTCTGATATAGATGATTTAATAGATTTCTCTGATGGTATTTTATATATTGGTGGATTGCCTGATGGGTATGTATATCTAATTATCAAACAGTCTTTTACATATTCATCTGATAATTAATTGTTTGATTCATACTAAAAAGAAATGTGAAACCTGCAAGCGAATGTTTTCATACATTTTCAGGGACCCTTATCTCATAGCCTTAATTTTTTTTAAAGCATGACATTTAAAATTTACATTGGAAGCCAACAATTTTGTTGCAACTCTCACTATTCTATAAAATGTATAATTATTTAATTTGACGCACATTCAGGAGGGCTGTTGTTAGACCCTAACTGAAGTGGCTGTATTTAAAATAAAAGCTTATAAAAAAACGTAATGAAAGTTTGGTCTGAGTTTAATTAGGCTACTTCAAGGCATGATTAGATGACTGAAAAGGTAAGCAACTCTACCTGACTAGAAGGGAAATAACCTGTGTTAAGACAGGACTAATCCAGACCACAATATGACAATATTTATAATAGTTTATTGTATATTACAGTATTGCTGGTGAACTAGGAGAAACAGGACCAGGTTTAACAGGGTGTGTACGAGGGTTTGTGTATAATAATAAAGAGAAAGATCTATCTAGATTAATAGATGGTAGTATGACAGGTGTTACTACTGATTGTATGTCATCATGTTGGCCCAATCCTTGTCTAAATGGGGGTGTTTGTGAAGAGAACTGGGGATCCTATAACTGTATTTGTGCCAATAAATGGATTCATTATGGAAATGATTGTGAAAGAGGTATGCATAGTTCCTTATTTTTTTATGGCATGTATTGTATTTTAAGTTTTTTCGTATTGATTAACTTAAATGAAGTTGTGTTCCTATTCCTTCCCTAAGAATTGCCACAGTCTGGTGCTTGTTAAATAGAGTCTGTTTTTGTCATACATCCTCATTAATTCTTATTACTGCTACAAATGCTTAAAATTCTCCCTGAATTTATTTTTTTACCCCTGGTGGTAATGTGTTATTTGATATCTTAATTGTTTCAGATATAAATCGTGATGCAGTGACAATGTCTGGTACAGTAACATCATTTATGGTATTTGATTCATCTGAATATCCTGAAGCCTTACATCAAACTATTATATTTAGTTTCCGAACATTTAAACGGGAGGCAATGATACTATACATACATGATGAAATGAATAATTTTATACAGTTTGAACTACAGAAAGGAACCAAGTTGATTATAAGTTATAATAATTTTAATGAAGTTATTAGAGAAACTATTACATTTGATATTGAGCGTAAGTTATTAATGAATTGATTGAAAAACTGTTCAATACAGAAAATACATTGCTGCACATTTGCTTGTTACTTATTTCCATGATAATAAATATCAGATTTACACCTATGGAACCTTAGTGGTTCAGTGAGTAAAAGGCTTGCTTGAATCCTGGTATGGGTCATTATAATACCTTCCGACTTTTTCCTCCTGGTTTGTTACCTGATGCAGGTCACGGTTGCACATGGAAAAAGCATCTTATCCACAAGATGGCACAATAAACAGGCTGTGCCGTTAAAGATCCCTCAAAAATCAGATATCAAAAAAGAGTAGGCTTATTCTGATGTCCTAGCAAAATTTTCTTCATTTCACACCTCATCTTATTGCCCATCCAGAAAGCTTAAATTGGTGCAAACATGTCATACGTAACACCCATTTAAATTTGAAAACCAATTGATTCCTCAATTTATACTATGAAATATTATTGTAGATAAATTAAGTGATGGTAAATGGAAACAAGTAATAGCAGAAATTATAGGTGATTCTACTAGATTACAAGTTGAAGATAAAACTCTATTAATACAATATCCTAGATTAAAGTTACGCAATTATAATACATTCCCTTATAAAGAAAGTCGTATTCCAGGTAAATTGTGTTTTTTTTTAATATTCTCTTAATTAGAAGTCTGAAATATTCAAATGCTTATTAGAAGATACTTGTAACTGCAAGTTAAATATTCTGTGTTGTCTTAACATTAACCTCTTCCATAGAATATGTCAATGATATGACACCAACTTTAGCTTATATTTTATTGATTAATTTGTTGGCAATTATAGCATGACTTTCAGCAATCAATATTTGGGAATCCAATGATGACATTCCAAATTCCAAGTTAACCCATTTGTTAAGGCATTTGACTATATAAAAGTTATTGAACTTCTTTGTGCTTTTGTTTGTAGAATCAGTATTTTTACCAAGACCTTCTGAAAAACCAGTTCCATTTGTTCATCTTTATGTTGGTGGTGTTCCAAAAGGTGCAACTACTCTACCTACCTTTGATGGCTGTTTACGTGGTTTGAAGATTGGAAAGAGAATATATAATTTGAGGGAACAAGGCGTAAAAGCCAAAGCAGGTAAGAAATAAATAAATACATTTGGTTGAGAGACAGATAGCCTGAGATATCTAGTATGAAATATTGTTCATGAGATCAGACTCAAAATCAGAGAAATTGATCTAAGATACAGATTTTTAGATATTGAATTTTATCTATTATGTTATTTAACAAGATGTCCATTACTCAAACAAATGTAATTTATTTTTGTAGGTGATGTTACTACTGCATGTGAAACTGGTTGTATAGAAGATAGATGTTTAAATGGTGGATATTGTACTGAATATTTTAAACTGGGACAATATGATTGTGATTGTACTGAAACTGATTATTCTGGACAACAATGTCAAATAGGTAAGGACATTTTTTGCACGTTTATAAATATCAAGGAAAACTTGTATGATATAGTACTTTTGATTACTGTGTTTTGACCATGGATAAAAAAAATTTGACGAATACCTGTATATAAGACATTTTGTTCCCTACATCTTTTAGAGTAGTAACTTCAATGCAAACCAAACAAATGTACATTCTGAGTTAAAGAGTTTGATATTGAAACAATATTTCAGTCTGAGAAATGTAGATTACCTAATCATGATCATAGTCCTTAACAAAGTTATCTTAAACCATTGTTATTTATACTTTATAAACAAATGGCAGATAATGTATTATTATTATTATTTCAGAGCCCTCTGGTAAATTTGATGGTAATTCAGTGATAGAACAGAAGTTTAGATTACCATTAATAGATCAACGTAGTTTATCAGAACAATTGTCTTTTACCTTTATATCAGACGGTGTTGATCCTAGTCTGTATGTTAAAGGAGAAATTATAGAAATGGCTATGATTTATGTTACAAGTTCTAAGTAAGTTTTGTATTATTCTCAATGATATAGTTTAGATTTATTCAATAGTTCATGTTTGTTGTTGTGTTAAAAAGGAAAAAAGTGCTGTGAACCCTGTTTTTTTTTTTATTGAATTTTTAATTCCATACCATATCCATGAACTTGTAAAACTCACCAATTGTAATTGTACATTAATATTTAACATGATTTATTACAGAAAGAAAGATTATTTACTGGCTAAATTAGAACAAGATGGTTCGGTCATGATAGAAACTAATCAAGAAATTGGAATTTGTAAGCTTTCAATTTTCATCTACAAAAGCATATGATACACTGGGCTGATTTGTGTGCCTTTTTTGTCATGCAAAATTGGTAATAACTTGAAGAAAAAACAATTAAACAGAATGCTGACTTTGTATAGTCACTTTGATCTGTGAATAATTTTTTGAAGGACTTGTTTTAAATTAAACACATTCCAAATTATTGTGGTTAATTTTTTTTTTTAAATATTTTGCAGATCGTATGAAGATTCCAGTAGATTTTGCTAATGGTAAAGCTCATGAATTGAGATATAAACGTGATGGTTCAGATATGTTTGTCACAGTAAGTGATAGTTATTTTAATACAAGATATACGACTTTCAAATACATGTCTCTGTGATGTTTGAACATTTTGTCTATGTTCATATCAGCATGAATGCATCATATATAATCATAGATTATGACTCTATCAAAATATTTCTGTTACATTTTGTCATTTTTGTGATTCAAAATTATTTTCCAAGTCATATCATATTTTCTATTAGAATAGTATTGCATTTGTCAAATTTCCCATTGTTCATCATATATGAGTTTTGAGCATGCTTTATTCTTCTTTTTATCATAAATTTCCTTTGCCTGATTATTTAGGTTATACCATATGATAAAAAAGGATTTCCCATTGTAAGTTCTCTATAAAAACACTGCCATATATGTATTGTATTCTATTGCTTTATATCACTGTATATATCTGTACCCTGTTTCTGAAAAAATCTTGAAATAGAAGTTGTCGTAGATGTAGAATTTCACGTTGAGAAAAGTCATATTTGCGTTAAAATTTGATCGTTAATTTTTTGAGAAACAGGCGCTAGCACAGTTTATATTATCATATCATATATATACTATTGGGTGGAGATATTTTTATATGTTATGTCAGAGTTAGGCTTCTTTATTGCACCTTTCCTGTATATTTGACGTATATGCACATTTTTGTTTAAATGTAGGCCTACATTGGGTACAGTAAAAGTTTAAGATTTACATATTGGACTTTTTCATCAAAGCTGGTGCTAGTTGACGAACTAGCTAGTTATTGCCAATCAATTTATATCTGTAGATCAGACATGACAGCATAATATGTAGTTTTATCAGCAATCCTGTTGTTTTTAACATGGTTTATTTACTATAATAAAATACATCTATATTTTTCTTGTATTATCATACAAAAATGTTGCAAAACGTATGACAAAAACTGATTCTACAGTGTTTAATATCTAAATAATATTTCCATGACTGTAATTGTTTTATGGTTACCTAGTTAGATGCTTGAGGTTAAGAGTTCAATTATGGCTTAGTATACCATCTTATTTTTCTACCCAACTCTATTTGTCATTTGATCAAAGTTTGAGACATCATCTAATCATTAGATTAGAAGTATAAACTGATGCTCACCAAGAACCTTAACAAATAAAGAGCAGATGGTCCCTTAAAAACTTCCCCATTGTACACAGCATTGTTCCCTACTGCAATCAGATATATGATGCTATATGTTGTAGATTGATGGTATAGAAGAAGCCACCATGAATTATGCTGCGTTTGATTTAGATGATATAGATTCTATTTATGTTGGTGGTATGGCACAACAAACAGATGATTTTTACAGTGTTGTCAATTTTACAGGCTGTATCTCCAGTAAGAGACTTTAACATCTATTTTTATATTTCTCTAAGTCTATCAGGGTTCCAAAGCCCTAACTTAAAAATAGAGCCATATTCATTTGCTTTCATTCAAATAGCCACCTGCTTTGTATTTTTTATTAAGGAAGAAGGTTTATTAATTGTTTTCATAAATGAAGAGTCTGTAAGTTGAATTGTGAAGAATGGACCTATTTGATCAGATATTTTACGAATTTTTTTCATTTCAGATGTAGTCTATACACCATCTAAAACCTCCTCGATTAGAATACGTCCATTAAAAGATTTTTATACTAATAGTTCTGATATAAAAGTACTGGGTAACAGTGTATCAACTTGTTCTGATAAACGTCCTAATATATATGGTAAAGTTAGTCGCACACCAAACCCTCCACCAGATGAGTTCACAGATTTTGAGGTTTCTACTTTTTATATTTTTCCTGATTTGGGACAATTTTATTCCAGTTACACAAAATCACAATCCAAAATTTAAAATGGTAGTCTTTGGAAGCCTTAAATGATATGATAACAGAAATAAAAGTCTGTCATTGATATCAAAGAATTAAAGATCCAGAACATTGGTTGGAAAATGATTACTGTATTCCAAAACAGTTTCTGTTCAGCATTACTCGGATTAGTCTTCTAATTATGCAATTTGTTTTTTTAGTCAGTGACAATGCCGGAATGGAATATTGGACCAGCTAAAGTAGAAATAATTGGTGGAATACCGATACCACCAACAGATATAATAGTAACTACACAATCACTAATCTTACCTAAAAATAATACCTCAACTTTATTAACAGATTATAGTGTTGATAATATGACTATAGGTAAGTTTTTAACCGTCATCCTGGCAAAAGGTTCCTAATTGCACACTGCATGGCATTAACCCTCTTCTTTAACCAATCAGGAGAGGAAAAATAGGCTGTTTCATATAGTTTATTAATCTTTGAAAGTAGAATATTATCACCTTCATCATTTTTGAGGAACAAAATTGGAATATCAGGAATCAGAGACCCAAATCATTGATATTTGTGATGGTCTATATATACTTTATATATGTATTATATTTCAATATTGTGAAGGTAAAGATGCTTTATTTGATTTCATATTAAATTATCATTTCAGTTATTACAGCATGTATTATAGCATTATGTTTAATACTAGCTATTATAATAGCGTTATTATTGGTAAGACGACGTAGAAGATTAGGTGAATATGAATTAAAGAAAAAAATAGTAATGGATGGTGTAGATGGTGATTTAGATGCTAAAGTTCCATTAAATCATGTGACATCTACTCCAGTTCCTCATGACCATCTAGCTAAACTTGATGAATTTAGTATGGTTTCAGCTACTCTTGGACCTCCAAAAAGTAAGCATTATCAATTTTATGTATAATTTGAATTGAATATGAATTGATCTACAATTGTATTGAGCACTATTTTAACAGTGAAAATATTTTATTATTGTATAATTTCACTTATGTAGATTGATACTATAATACATCTTATAAAAATTAGCAGTAATCCTAGAAGTAAAATAAAGTCTTTTTTTGTACTATGTATATTCACAAGGTATAATGATCTTTGTGTAATACCTGGACATCATTCTGCAAATACAGCCCATCAATGCCCTCGACAGAAGGACTCTTAATAACATTGCTGGCTGTGTCTAGATCTCTGATTGGCTGTATGCCTAGCATACAATTCCAATCAAATTGCTTCATTTATAAACTCTTGTGATACATGGAAAGACACGGATTGTATCAACATTGTGAACATGGGTGCTATACTAATCTTTGTTTCTGCATGTATTTCAGTGAGGAATAATGTAGCTAATGACCAGCAAGCTAACAGATTTAGTCAAGGAAGTTTTGTAAGTTATTTTATGATAATGAATACTAGCATGCTATATAAATAGAATGTCTGTTCTACCTCCTAACTGTTCATTAAGAAACATGTTATTGTCTTAGGTATTTGAAGTCCAATACACAGTGATGAATATCAGGTTAATTCTGTATTTTGATCTCTAAACATTTTGGTATTCAACCTTTGAAACATTGAAATTTCAAGTTTAACAGTTAGTATGCACAATTGAAATAAGGCTTGTTTTTTTCCGCAAAGTTTGATTCTATCTTCATGCTACCAAATGCTTTGAAATATTTAAATCTGTTTTAATTTGCTCAAAAGATCAAATGTTTTCAAATCCAAAAATCTGTACTGGTACTGATCTTCATAATTATCAGAGATTTCAGACATCAGTAACAAAACATTAAAGAGATCTTTTGATCAGTCAGTATTTTTGAAATTTATTATAAGAAATAATGCTCAGGTTGATTTCTTAAACTGTGTGTATTGGACTTCTGAATTACCATTCCCTGCACATTTGACTTGACATAGCTATAGACTATATAGACATGCATTAACCTGAACTATTTATGACTTTGTAGCCTATGATAGATGATGAAACAGCGTTTTCTAGTGCTATATATAATAAACGTAAAAATAGACCAGCTTCTTCTATATCCGAAGTCTTAGAGGAATTAGAAAGGCGACAGAAAAATATTAAAGATCCCAGCACAGGTACATTTCTCTATCATATTTTGATACCCTTATATTTACCTTGAATTTGTTGACACCCTTTACTCCTCTTGCATTTTATTTGCACCCTTGACATGCTCTCCCTGTAAGAGTTTACTTGCCTATGGCCTGCCGCTATGCTGATCATTTTCAGATGGAAACAACAATTCACTGTATATTGTATTAACTGGAAATTGCATGAAATGAATGCTCTGATGCAGCTTTGTGCTAAATGTTTTAAATGAACTTTTCTTCCAGATGAAATATGTAAAGAGTTAGAAGAAAATCTTAAAAGAGAATTAGAATTAAATCGTGCCCATGGGGAGGGAGAATTAGAATGGGACCCACAAATAGATAAGGCACCGTTAACTTATGTAAGTCATACTAAAGACTACATATTTATTTTGTCTTTATTGTATTGGACTGTTAAATCATTTTTATATTTTCAAGACCGTTTTTCTAGAGATTGCATTGGAATTTGGTAAAATGGTTTTTAAAACTTAATTCAAACTCAAAAAAGGGATAAATCTTAACAGAAAGTTAACTGAAATAGAAAAAGAATTTGATAAACTCAAAATGTATTAATGATTTTACAGTACCTGTATATATTATTATTAAGTATGGTAAATGGTTTAAACAAAGCTTATTGCATGTTGCATGGCAAATAAATAAATTGTGCATATTTTTAAGATTTATTGTAATAATAATGTACATGTATTATTAACTGCATATAAAGAGAGCACAAGCTTATTTCACCATTTCTTTTTCACATCCCATATTCCCTGCATAATGATTATTAAGTTGCTATTTTCCCCAGTATTTCATTTCATTATTTCATTTTAAAATTATTGTTCTTTATCTAGAAGTTCTCTCAGATTTATTAAATTAAAACAGCTTATTCAACTTTTGAAATATTTATGTTTATGCAATAAAATAATACAAAAATAAATCCCTCAATAAGTTGTTGTTTTTGAATGAAATAAAAGACAAATCCCAGTTTTAATTTAAACATTTTAAATTGAAGAGATCTGAATGTTCTTCTAGATAATTGATCTCTTGCATGATTCCTTTATTCATTTCTTTCTTTCATTCATTCATTCTGCATCGTGTCTTTGTGTTTATTTATTTTTAGGGAGAAATAACTTTTTTCAACAGCCCTTTATTATTGAGTATTCCTGATGAGCTTGAAGAATTAGAAATGTCCCCTAGTTCTTCAATACACAGTCTAGAGGTTGGTATATGCCCAAAATCTATTTCATAAAGGAATGGGAAATGCAGTAAGCTGATTAGCTTCAAATAAACTTCATTTTAACTTTATCTCAAATGATATTGATTTATAGTTTATTTATAAATAATGTACTTAATAAATTTAGTTATTTATTCCTTTTCTTTAAGTATTTTACTGTAGTTTTAGCTTAAATTACTTTCCACTAGCTTGATAGTTTTCACTGATATTTATTAATCCACATTGTGGGTAACCTAGAATTTATTAATAAGTTAAAGTATTGCCACTTTTTTATGTATGGCCACTTTCCATCCGTCTGTCAATAATTGTCTGAAGATTTTTGAAAGATGAATTTTTTTTTTATTAATGACTAACCTTTGAATAAACTTAGGGATTAACGTTTTTCAAAATTCACATTGAAGTAATCTTTCATGAGTATTTTGAGAGTCTCTGAATAGGCCTTTTTTTCATAAAATAACACTATTTATTTACACATATCCTAGATATATTATTTCACGAGGATGATTAAGATTTAAATAAAGAACATTAAATTTCATCACTTTATCCAAGTCATGAAATCTGCTGTGCCAAGGGAGATAACTCTCTATAAATACTTGATATTTTAAGATCACAATATGATGTATGAAGATTATTTTTTCATTCCTGAAATTCATTTTGTGATTTCAGAAAAAGGAAGAGGACGATATAGTAACGGAAGGATCAGAAAATCCTAACAGTAATGGTGAATATAATGGTGATAGTGGGTATGAGGCTGAGTCATCACGACCTGAAGGTTTAGAATCAATAGATGATAGTGCTACTCCAGATACAACTATAGACGAGTCTCCTACAAAATTATACTATGATATTTCTGGTATAGAGTTACAAGACTCTCCAAATTTATCTGTACATCAAAAACTTTTACCTGCAGAGACCAGAACGTAAATTTTCACTAAGAAGTTGTGAACATCTGTTAATGAAACCTTATTAATTCTTGAAGAGACAGTTTTTACTAATGGTTTATGGACAGATGGGCTGTTGTCATGTAGTTGAATGTTGGTCAGAGGGAGCATTTTCATTATCATGCTTATAATGGTGCCAATGGGAACTATCAGAGTCTATGAAAGGAATTCCATTGTGTTCGAACTAAATTACAATCTTATATTCATTTAGGATAATGTGACATTGACATTAAAGTTTTATGTGATTGTTTTTGTTGATGTATTTTTCTGTTTTACTGTTAATGATTTCTGTTATTGCAGGGTTTTGTTACGAAAAGCATGTTATCTACAAGTTTAGAGAAATGAAGGGACAAAATTTAAGGAAATATATCTCTTGTATTCTGTACTTTAAGGAAATAGTGTGCTTTTGCTTCCATTGTAAACTTTGGCATTAAGAAAAGAAAGTCTTTGAAAATTCTGCATTGCTGTATCTGTATGCACTCATTAGTGTCCCTACAAGGGTTATGTTTACTGTGCCAGCAAGATTAATTTGTCAAACTTTTAGACACAGAAAGAACACCAGTCTGGATATAGATCTGAATGATTGATGTTAGGTCTGTTATTTGAAATAGATTGAATGTTAAAGGGATTATATAGAGGTTTAATCAAAATTTATGTGTATCTGGGATCAATTCGCACCATTCCAATTTTCAATCAGATGTCTGTAGTTCCTTCAATTCCACTAAAAATAAATAAGTGTTTGATGACGTCACTAAGTGCAAAAGATGCTTTATCACATATTGCCCTTCGTGATTAGTGATGTTATAAAGCACTTAGTTTTAGTGGAATTGTAGGAACTACAAACGTCTGATCGAAAATTGAAATCAAGTGTCCCAGATACACTTAACAAATTTACAATCCCTTTAAGATGTATAACTAGTCATGTATATATACATACTGAAAACTATGGTGTAATACTGGTATACTGAACTATGATATAATAGTAATATAGTTTGGTTGTATATCTCAGTATTACTCTATCTAGTCTTTACATTCTAAATTTCATTACAATTCATTTGAAACCTCTTTTAAAGTCAATAATCTGTTCTATTTATTTTGATCAAGGTTAGTGCTCATTATTTATATATTATTTTATGTTTTCTTTACTGCAGGGAGAGTTAAAATAGTAATCATACATCAAAAACATTCCTGTGTTCATCTGTGACTCTTGTTTCACTTATTCAAAGAGTAAATTCACAAGTATTTGTGAACGATGAAAAAGCTTAATATAACCAAATCACTAGCCCTGCTTTAAGCAGTCTGGTCTGAAGACAATGATATTTGATGCTGTCTAAGACTTGCTGCAAGAGATAACTTTGGACCATTGGCTATGTAGTTCATGTTTTTGATCACCTGTCTGTAGAATGTAGTAGTTGTCAAGTGCCTTGATTTAAAGCAACTACAATATTCACCAAGGTTGTATCTTGCCAGATCATTTCTAAATGGCATTTTTTTGTTGAAATTTTTGTTTTGTTCATTTCTCTGTAGTATTTTTTAGAAATTGCTATACCTAGCTAAGTTTGAGGCAATATATTATATGATTACACAAGAAAACAAACCTAAAGTCAATACTTGGAGAGAAAGGGTAAAATTGAGTCAATGCAATGAGTATGATATAAAATAGTGTAGTTGTATTACAGAGATTGTGATTACTTGTATCTTACTTCAAGATAATCTTAAAGATCAGTTATTAGCTTTATGTAAACAAAATGATATTCTGTCTCAAAAATATTTCAGGTTTCATTTACAAATATTTTTTTCCCTTGACAAACAACATCATCAACTATCATTACTGTAGATATAAATCATGTCATAATTGTAAAAATTTCATTTTCATTTTCATTATTTGTAATTATCACCCACTATTTCTTGTTTTATTATGAAATAGTGACATCTGTAGTAAGTCATTTACTCAATCTCCAATCAGTATAGGTTGATGACTTCAAGCCATCTATGAAATCATGTTAGACAAATAGTTTCAGTTTGCCTTAAAGCCAAGGTCACACAAAAGTCAATAAGGCAGAATTTATTTGTGGAATTTTTCTGTAAGGGTAAACTTTAAAATTGAAGTTGAATAGTTAAAGGGCTTGTATGTGAATCTGGGACACTGATAGCATCTAAAAATCTTAAATTACTTAGTTTTAGTGGAATTGGAATGGTGTAAGCTAATGCTATCAGTGTCCACAATACACATAAAAGTTTAGAAAATCATTATTTAATCATACAAGTATCATATTATTTGTTAATTTTTATCATAAATCAACAAGTGCTCATCTGCAAGTAGAATCAGCTGACTTGTATTTAAGAAATTTCTATGTAAGGCTTTGTACAAAATGAATTTCTAATTTAATATAAATCTAAAATCCTTGTCACAATGTAATTATTTAAAACAATGATCAACTTGTATTGTTTTATGTTTTAAATTAATGATTTTTTATTGGTTGATTTATAAATAAACTCTTGATAATTATTGTGCTTTTAATTTTTGGATTATTGAACAAGTTTTCAGACTAGTTACCTATAAAACTCATGAGTATTAGAACTAGTAAACTCATGAGTATTCGAAAAAAAAAATCTCTAGAACTCACGAGTATTTTAACTATAAAACTCACGAGTATTTTAACTATAAAACTCACGAGTATTTTAACTATAGAACTCACAAGTATTTTAACTATAAAACTCACGAGTATTTTAACTATAAAACTCACGAGTATTTTAACTATAGAACTCACGAGTATTTTAACTATAAAACTCACGAGTGTTTTAACTATAAAACTCACGAGTATTTTAACTATAAAACTCACGAGTATTTTAACTATAAAACTCACGAGTATTTTAACTATAAAACTCATGAGTATTTTAACTCTAGAACTCACAAGTATTTTAACTATAAAACTCACGAGTATTTTAACTATAAAACTCACAAGTATTTTAACTATAGAACTCACGAGTATTTTAACTATAAAACTCACGAGTATTTTAACTATAGAACTCACGAGTATTTTAACTATAAAACTCACGAGTATTTTAACTATAAAACTCACGAGTATTTTAACTATAGAACTCACGAGTATTTTAACTATAAAACTCATGAGTATTTTAACTCTAGAACTCACGAGTATTTTTAACTATAAAACTCACAAGTATTTTAATATTTTAACTATAAAACTCACGAGTATTTTTAACTATAAAACTCACAAGTATTTTAACTATAAAACTCACGAGTATTTTAACTATAAAACTCACGAGTATTTTAACTATAGAACTCACGAGTATTTTAACTATAAAACTCACGAGTATTTTAACTATAGAACTCACGAGTATTTTAACTCTAGAACTCACGAGTATTTTTAACTATAAAACTCACAAGTATTTTAATATTTTAACTATAAAAATCACAAGTATTTTAATATTTTAACTATAAAACTCACAAGTATTTTAATATTTTAACTATAAAACTCACAAGTATTTTAATATTTTAACTATAAAACTCACAAGTATTTTAATATTTTAACTATAAAACTCACAAGTATTTTAATATTTTAACTATAAAACTCACGAGTATTTTTAACTATAAAACTCACAAGTATTTTAATATTTTAACTATAAAACTCACGAGTATTTTTAACTATAAAACTCACAAGTATTTTAATATTTTAACTATAAAACTCACAAGTATTTTAATATTTTAACTATAAAACTCATGAGTATTTACACTAGTTAACTATAAAACTCATGAGTATTTTCAACTAAATAACTCATGAGTATTTTAAATTATAAAACACATGAGTCTTTGGACTAGTTAACTATAAAACTCTTGAGCATTTAGACTAGTTACCTATAAAACTCATGGATAAAACTCTAGGACACTTAGATTGGTGCTTGGAATGAACAATACCCTGGGTGAGGGAGCCGATTGTTGAATCCACAAAAGATGTCCATAAGAAAGCCCCAAGTTTTTTTCATGCAAAGTACAAAACTATATACTAGACATAATTACAAGTATTTTGCCTAAAAAATGATGATAGAAATATAAAACATCCAATATATAAAATATAACAAGAATTGCATGCAATATAAAAACAAGTTTTCCTTTACACAATGTGATTAAATGGAATATATAGTATACTCAAAAATTAATCAAAGTGGTAAAAAAGTTCATAAAATATTTGAAAATGACACATTTTTTTACAACTTTTTTTTATTAGTTCATAATGCATAAAAATGATGACGATAAATTTGCAAATCAGTCTCATAATCCTGTTTTAACTCTGCTTCCAGCATGAATATTCTCCCAAGTAGCTTTACACAAATATCCCAAACAAAAATAGAACGAGTCTTTCCCCGTTAATCCCAGCTGACCCTGATGACAACGGTATGTATGAATACCAACTTGACCAGGTTTCTTCATATGTGTAGTATACATGGAATATATCACATGTTCATCTGTATTAGCTAGTCCTTTATCTAGTAAATATTCCACACTTGATTTATATCTCTTAATAAATCTACTTAGGGTTTGATTGGTTCCCAACACCATACTACCCGATACCCACACAGCACGATACATCATAATAAAATCTAAATCTAAATGTGGATCATGAGGACCTACTTGTGTAAAACCAACTTTTTCTCGATTGAATTTTTCTGGTGGTAACATTTTAAAAACGTCAGTTCCACTCTCATCAAGCTTTTTAAACATAGTAATATCCACCCAGGCAAAATATGGCGTCTTGAAATAATTTTTCTTCACAGCTTGTAATAAAAATTCATATTTTGCATGAATTAAACATGAAAATTCAGGATTTGTTGTGTAGGGATAATGCTTAGGATATGTTGACTCTTCAAAGATTTTACGAGTTTTCTCCAAAAGTGAAAAAGCCCACAATTCTTCTCTGGAAACTTTGATTATTCTAGTATGAGATTTTGGTAAACAATGTCTGACACTTCTTACATATTTAGCAATCTCATCATCTTCCACAAAAATAACAACAGGGTTGGTGAGTTTACTAAAGGGGCGAACCCATTCCTTATATTTATATGGTGAATGATAGTCTAGAACACCATGTCCTTTCTTTACCAGGCCCAAATCAAACAGTGCTGTAACAATTGTAATTTCATCAGGTTCATGTTTCAAGGCATATCTTGGTATCTGTTTATATTTACACCATTTACTCTGGAAGAATCAAAACTTGAATCATAATCTATTTCTAACTTTATCAAAGTTAGAAATTTTCAATCATGAAAAGTATTGCCTAATGCAAGTTTAATTTTCAAATTTAATTCCATTCAGCCCATCCATGATATGTGTATCTGGTTCAAAGATTGTCCTTGTGGATAATATATAATACAATTATATATAGATTTCTTATAGACAATTGATTATCAAAATACTTTCAATACAAAGTGCTAAGACGAATTAATAATTCTCACGAAAAATAAAACCTTACCACATATGGATGTCCATACCAAATGCCTACACTAAAAACCACATGATCTGTAAAAATACATATAAACCATAAAGTATTTTTTACCAACATGCCGATACAATTAACATTGTTTCTGAATCGGAATATTATATAAAAAAAAAAAATTTTTTACATGTTCTTCAAAAATATTTTAAGTTCTGTTTTATTTTTAAGCTTTTCTCAACAATTTAAAAGGAAACTTACATCCAAGATAAAGTATAATACACAGGAAGAGAAATGCTGCTATCTGTAATAAATTTCTATATAAATATCTTTTCCCAGGAATTTTTATAGCTTTCAATAAAGAATTTGGCAAAATCTTCTCCATTGTGACAGTATTTTTCACCCCATAACAATTCAATCAGTGATCTACAATAAAAGGTTAGCTATTTAGCTACTACTAGAATCTTTGGCTGATTAGTCAATTCTGATTCTGATTGTTAGATGTAGACACTACTTTACATGTTTGGTCATAGACTAACATTATCTAAGTAGTCTTTTTAATATTGGCTGAGGTGTCATTATTGGTTCTAGTGCCAGTAGTCTTGGTCCAAATTGTCCTGATTATCTTGAAAGCTGACAATTTTCAGAAGCCACTTACCAGTAGTCAGTAGATCTTTAATAATACTTGTCATTAGATCTGACATGTATTTTCTAATTTACATACCTAATAATGTACAATTGAGATGTTAGAGAATTAAATATTAGAAGAAAAATCCCTATCAAAGAAATATTGAAATAGTATGAGTCACAACAATGACACACTAGCCTAATAAAAAAATTATGTCTCTATAGCTGTGATATTATTGTAGTCTGTAGCCACTGGCATAATTATTTATTTTCGTGCTGATCTTAGTGAATATTTTATATGTTATCGGACAAATACCTGAAATTTGTGCCTTTTCAATTAAAGAAAAACTAACGTGATTATAAATATTGTTATTCATGCTATAGAACTGTAACAGACAAGAGTTTATTTGAACTCTTGTGATAATAACTTACAACTACACTGGTAATATAAATAAAGGGGAGAGAATAAAATTTTAAAATTATACGGATTAGTCAATAAATATGGGCATACTTTCATACGGACTCACTCCACTAATTCATTTGCCATCTCATCCCATGTTAAAACACGAAATTCAACCTTCTATAACTTTTTCCAGAAATCTCGTTGAAAGCTTTCCAATATGTCGAATGAAAGCCTGAGCAATTCTCAATGTCTCCTAAAAAATTCATTATATGATGACCATGAAAATTTTGAGCTACTAAAATTGAAAGTAGACTACTACCGGTTATACTCATCCGCTAGAGTTTGGCACTTCACAAAACGACTATTTTTAGAATTAGCCTTCCGCCTTTAAGTCTCTCATCATCTCACCAAATCTGAAAGATAATGCAATTTCAGACATCAAATTCCAAATCTAGACCAAATTTTACCCAAAAATAGACAAGCAAAAACCCCAAAAGGGAGAGAGAAAGAAGATTTCTAAAAAATGTTTTAGTGGAGTGAGTCCTATACGGATAAATCTATTGACAGTGCTGAAAGAAGTTATCTCCCTTTGACCACATCCTTATTGTTCACTTGACGGCTTTCCGAACATGTTTGCTGCTGATGGTGGGACATTTTCCCCAACACACATTGCAATCAGTATTAGCCGTTTGCCATGGGATCCTAATGATCAGTGCACCAGTTTATCACAGTCCTGACCTGAACTTGCACCAGTTCATGAGAATTCCATCAGTCCTTCGTGGTTCATTAACCCATGTGAACATCTTGTGAACCTTATCATTTTATGATTATTCATGGAGCCATTTTAAGGTATCGGTAGTCAACTATCTTGATCTAATGAGATGAGTAGGTTAAGCCTGCAATCTTATGAAGTTATGGAGTTGTGAAGAGGACCTGGTTTGGTCTTTCAGTCGCAGTTTTATTTTCATTCTGATTCTAACCAAAAAATGAGAACAAGGCTAGAAAGCTGGGATCATTTTTTTGCCTTTGAAACTAATTGGTTGCCCATTTTAATATTGGGACTGTTAACTATGCAGATGAAAACTTTTAAAAGGGAAGTTTCATAAAATATCACAAAATTTGATTTCATATCTTATTATTCAATAACATACAACCAAATCCCATATAGCATAATCTATAACACACTGTAAAGACAGATTTTACTTCAATCAGTTTTTATTTTTGATTGAATAACATAAAATAATAATAATCTTTAACTAAATATAAATCAAGAATATTTCATGGATCTCTGCTAAATGAATAGATACTTTCTGGTACAGCAAGGAAATCACACGTTTTATGTAATAGGAGAAGTGTATCTCCTGTAACACCTAATACTAACAATATTTGATATACACATCAAAGACTTATGTCATGAAGGTTTTTTTTCTTGGAATATACAAACTAACTGAAAATTTCTCTCAAAAGAGATTCAATAAACAATATTGAGACAATGAAATTAAATAACCATTTTATTTTAAGATTTGACAGTTTTTTTTTTTTTTAGTCATTTAGTAATATATTTAATTACAAGTTTTACTCTTTCATTATTGCTCTTTTTAAAATCATTTTACAAAATTATATTTACATCTAGAGGGTTCACATGGACATTATATGACATTCAGATTAATTGCATTTGACTGCTTGCATAAGGCTGTATCACTCAAGCTGGATTTGTATTTGTACACCTTTTGGCTGAGAATTCGTAACCCCAAATCTATCAAAATCTCTTTGATCAACTGAATTCAAATAAATACTTTAATGAATCCAGTGTTGCCAAATGGGCTTGTACAATTGGAGTGAATTCAGATATTTTTTGTGGCCAGAGCATCAGAACGTACAATTTAAAAAATTATCATTAACACCCATATGAACACCTGTCAAACCTTACTCCTTAATAAGATTTTTATACATCAATACAACAACTAATAGAAAAATTACAAAAAAATTATGCTCATTTTGTTACAATAGTCTACTGAAAATAACACAACACATTAGTAATAATTAGTGAAAATACAGGAAAGGGAGATAATTTCAAAAAATGTGTGAAAATATCAAAAAGTTGTAAGCATATTAATTGTATTAACAGTATAAATAGTGTCAATATAGAAAAAACTACATCAATTTACATTATAATACAGAATATAAAAAATCTAATTACATCATTAATTTTGAATAACTTGTGCACTGACAATATAACAATATCTAAGTTTTAATGTCGCGTTGGAAATGGTGAAAGTTAATATAATAAAAGGTGCTTTTATTAGAATGTTAGAATAATCATGATAATATATCAATCACTACAAGTGAAGACAAAATAAAATGAAAAAAATAATGAAAAAAATATATGAAATTGTGCTTTTCATTCGATCTTTATCCTTCTTGGCCATGTGTAGTGTAACTGGATACACAGTACAACATCTAGCCATGGAACTTATCTGACAATTCTTGTCACTTTAACATAAAACTTAAAGCCACAATTTTAATTCTCACCAAAACACGACCTTTCTGCCTCCTCACATCCTTCAGGAGAAAGGTAAAAATTGCATCAAGATTGACCATGTCAAAAAATGACCTTTTGACCAATTAACCTTTTAGAGAAAAGGTTTGTACCAATACCAAACGACTCTTTATACAGTGTTCAGACTGCTAGAGATTCATGTTCTATATTGGAGTTGAGATATGCTGAGTTCTCAACACCCTCTGTGATCTCCATTGCTTTAGAATCTGTTGAACTACATGTGGTAGAGGTAGAGCCAGCAGTCTCAATGTTTACTGTTTTAAAGGTACTGAGTGGAGTTGATACTATCTGTTCTGTATTCCACTGATATGGTCCTTTCATTTCCCGTCTAGCTTTCCTCTTTAATTTGCGCTCGTGCATCATCTGTTGTAAATGTTGAACCTTCTCTTTAAGAGATTCATCATCATTGGCATTTACAACTGGGCTTTCTACAAATACAAAATTCATACAATATAAGTAATGTCATATTTTTGATTCATATAAAGTAGTCATACATAAATAGCTACAATTCAGTTGTTGCTGTAGCATTTCTGTGCCTTTCTTCGGATTATAATCAAATCTTCTGATAACTCTATGTAACTTATGGTTGATTAAAAATGTAGACTATCAATAAACAGTGAGTTTAGTATTTGAATAAGAAGATGTAGTGTAGACTCACCATTGTTTGGAGTAGTTGACTTATATTCAGGTTTACGTGCACCTGGAGCTCGGATCTGAACATATGGATGAACCAATTGATATGCATTGACACCTAATAAATCATTTAATATATGTACAATAGTATTGACATCTTTCTTTGGTTTACCATTCTGATCTTGCAAAGTTGGATCAAGAGTTCCTGAAATAATCAGAAAATATACATTACAGCAACAATATACAGTGGAGCGCTGTTTAACCTGGAAAGTCCGACATCCACATGCTTTTAACTGGGAACAGAATATTCTTAATCATTGACAAAAGTTATGATCATCAATGGATACTGTTTCTTGCTTCATTAGGAAACGTCTGCACAATAACAGTACCTGATTGCAAATGAAATTAGGAAAATTTCAGTGAACACATACCTGAAAACGTTCCAGAAAACACTCCTTTTCCTAGATGATTCATACTATTTATAACAGCTCCAGAAGCAGCAAGATTGGTTGGCGTAGGTTGAACAGGTTGGGTAACCGGGGGTGTAACAGGAGGTGTAGCTGGAGGTGTAGGGTGAACAGGTGCTCGTGGTAGCTGGGTTTGTGGGGAAGAGGGGCGACTGCTAGGAGGTGTTAAGGGAGTAGAAAGGGGAATAGGAGAGGTGTGTACAGGACTTGATTGTTGTGATTTTGATTGTTCTTTCAGTTCACAATTCTGAAATAAATGAAATAAATTCATCAAAACTATGAATAATGAAGGAGTTCCATAGAGCTTGTATATTTGTTGAAAATGTACCAAAATAACCATCTGCTTGGGTTTGTTCAAAAAGACATTACAATTTGCAAAGGGATCATTGAGGCTGGTTCATTTTGATAATCTTCATATATGAACTAAATAAGCCAAGTACTAACGATACAAACTGTTGTACGAAACCATATGAAAGACATACCTTATTTTTATCATTATCTTTCGGTACTCTGGATAATTGGTGTAATTTTTGTGACAGGTTCCGACTAGCTTCGGCCAGCGAAGCTGAGGAAAGGGATGATGTTGATGGAAATAAATTATGACCAGATGTTGTTGGCGTTGTCATCGATTTGATAGTTTTCGACCTTCGACCTGCACATTGTGACGTCGATAATTGTAACTGAACAAACATCATGTGATCACCAACTCTCATGGCCAGTAATAGTGGTGCTCTACCAGTCAAAAAATCATTGATCTGAAATACATACATAAAATACATTATATAATATAGGTATCATTATTTTTGTAAGTATCTTTATTTTTGAATATATAAGTATCATTATTTTTGTATATACATCACACTATATAGTATCATTTTGTATATACATCCTATGATAGAAGTATCTTTTTGTATACACACCATACTATAAGTATCATTTTGTATATACATCAAATTATATAGGTATCATTTTGTATATACATCAAATTATATAGGTATCATTTTGTATTTACATCAAATATATAGGTATCATTTTGTATATACATCATATGATATAGGTATCATTTTGTATATACATCAAATTATATAGGTATCATTTTGTGTATACATCAAATATATAGGTATCATTTTGTGTATACATCAAATATATAGGTATCATTTTGTATATACATCATATGATATAGGTATCAATTTGTATATACATCAAATTATATAGGTATCATTTTGTATATACATCATATGATATAGGTATCAATTTGTATATGTATCTTATGAGACATTTTAATAAACCAAGTAGACATGGTATTCAGATGAGATTGAACCATCAAGTTGTGAACCATACAGTTTTCATTGATAATCCAAATATATTTACTAAGCTTACCTGTGATTCTGATAAGTTTTCTAAAGCCTGGATAACACTTGAATCTGTTCTTTGAAACTGTAACAAAAAAAACAGAAATGAAACTAAATGCACATCTCTTTCGCATGTTCAGCTTGAAAATCTCACGAGAATGACCTTCTTTTTCCAGATTAATAGTTCATGCACATTGTAATCCTAAAGTCATGCTTTCAACAGTTTCAAATCTACTAAATGCCCTAAATTTTAATAAGTACAATGTAGATTATTATTTCATTGACGAAAGTTTATACAGAATGGGAGGTTTCCTGGTCATAGACCTTTTTTAATGGTTATCTTCTTAATAGACGCTTATAAAAATTGACAGTTAATCTTTTTTTAATCCCCACTTTAACGAGATTGACATAGTGGAAAACGCAACAAAAAACACACTTTAACTAATGAACTTAACATATTCAAAATGAAAATATTCAACTATGTGTAGTTCCAAACTAAGTAAAGAGATGGATACCTCTGGCATGATTGTCAAGATTTTTTCAGGCACCGAATTTGATGTACCTTCATTTAATCATTTTTAATGGAAAAGTAGATTTTCTGAAACGTAATCTGTCTCAATGCTTTTAAGGAGATTCTTGTTTTTGTATGTGCAACAGAGAATTCTTGTGACTGGACCAAATCGAAATGGTGCAAATAGAAACTAAAAGTATCTCTCATACATATATAGGTTAAACTCTGTTGAAGCCTATCCAGAAAACATTTTGAGAACTGAACCATTGTCATATGTTGCTTTTAGAACTAACAAACCCGTTTTCATTGCATTACGGTTACAGGCCATTTTGGATTTTTTACTCCGAACTTTGAGCAATTAAAAGCATTGATATATTATTATGTCATATATAACAAAAAACATCCAAATTCCGAGAATAGAATTGAGAATATGTTTATGTTTAGTGTATTAACTAGTAGGTAGACGCTAATTACCAGACTTTATGAGTCATGTTTTAACAATAAACTGTAGAAACTAGATGTTAATTTTATTCCTACCCTCCTCCACAAATACTTTAGTTATTATATCTGATCAATCATGTCAGTCAAATGGAACATACTTTATATCAGACAGGGGGTGAATAACCTGTATAATAATTGTTATCAAGTAATAACGCTACACTTGTTTGAATATTGACACTTTGAATATCACTTTCAATAAACATTTTGGAACGATATATTGTTATTAATTTCATAATCAAAAACTACTTTGATCATAGTAATCAATTGAAGCCTAATTTACCTACTTTCAATGTGCCGTTTTGGATCCCCAGATATCATATGATTTAATAAGTCCTATGGACCAAACCACATTAAAAACAAAATACAGAATTGAAATAAAAGTTCAAGCTGCAAACTTCAAAGTGCAGTAGAAGTATATTAATTTGTGTGGTTGTTATTGGTTATATTAAAGTACATCTAATTGTTTGGCAGTATAAATGTTATAATATATTTATCAATGCATTTGCAAATCGAACCATAAATAAAAATGTTTAATATCTATCTATGTTAACAGCAGTTAGGTCTGTTTATTTGTGTATAATTTTGTTTATTCTAAAATAAAGTAAATATAAAATACATTTTACTGAAAATATAGGTTAATCCCTACCGTCATTCCACTTTCCATATTTGGTAATAATGTGATTTGGCTACAATCTGTGATATGGTTTTCATGTAAGGTACCATTTTTCAGAGTTCTGAAATTAGACAAAGATAATATTAAGATTAGAGGTACAAAGAGGACAATTCTAGAAATATATTCAAAAAGAGACAGCTAAGTTACAAATAGGAATAGTTCGGCACAGAGAGCTTAGTTTCTCTAAAACAAACTAAGGTAACAAAAAATCCAAAAGAGAAGCCATTTGAAAGAAAAAAAAACTTCATTTTGAGATTTCTTATATCTTTTTGTAGCAAAATTTCATGTGTACAAATTCAGTTTCAAATTTCATCCTACAGTTTTGCTCAAATTAAATGTTAAAGATGTAAATTTCATTTCGTATGTCAAGATTGACTATGATTTCTGATACTGTTCGAAATGAAAGGGGAGAAATATAAATGCTAATTCGCTTCAGGAATAAAGTTTGATACATTCACCTATTGTGAAATCTCTGAAAACCCTAATTATACTTGAAAAAAACTGTAGGCTGTGGGAAGGTTAGACAAATCGTTCACATGTTTTTTTTTCTTACAGGTCTCCTGTTTTGTCTATTGTTTTAACCAATTGAAAGCATGAACAAACAATATTTCACAACCACTTTCAACACATTTTCTTTTTCAAAGTCATTGAAATATAATCAGCCCCATTTTCTGGTATTTAAGTGGTAAGGTGGTTAACAGCCCTCAATATGCGACTTCATAGATAGTCTTCTGTGGTATTCCTATCTCTAGAGCTCCAGTAGAAAAAGATGTTGTGAGAAAGGAATGATGTTGCTTCAAGATACCCTATGTTTGGGTTGCCAAATTAATAAATTTGGTCTCTTTTGTTATGAGCAAAGCTCTTCGATATTTCATTGCATTATATTTCCAAGGTTAAGACCAGATCCTATGACAAGTGTTGTTATTTGAATCTTAATGAATTGTGAATTATGTGTTTTAACATTTAAAGGAGTATCTTCTATCTAATGTTATATGTCATGCAGCTAAAAAATATTTTGAATTCAAACTGATCAAATGATACTTAGTAATGATTAGCCAGGAGTATTTATTGTGCAATATAGAATTATGAAATGCAACACCAGTTTTTCATATTGTCCTTGATATGCCTGATTGCATTGTGTAATAATGATATAACCACTGTCTTAAAGTCCTTAGAGTTAAATTTCCAAAACTAAACTCAAAAATGTTTATCAAAGACAGTTGCCAAAGCCTTAGTAATGCAACTAAAGTTTTTGTACCCATGAAGTACTATGCAAAACTATGAAATAACAATGCACTTTACCAGAGTTACATTAAAAATTTGTCTCATACTTCTGCATCTTGTATCATGTCATTCACAGGAGACAACAAAAAAAGTTTTGAAATGCAAAGATCTATGTTAGTGAGCATGAAAGGAGAAACTCTGCGTGCCAAGGTTCAGAAATGGAGTTCTTTCAAACAAATTGTTTGTGATAAATTTTAACATTTATAGTTTCTGTTTATGCATGTAAAGTCATCACTTCAATCTGAATGATTTTCTTCTCACCTTGCTTCAGGAAAACCTATAAAACACAATTTTTCTACAAAATGATAGATGAGATGTAAATGACAATGATATTTGTTTTGTACAATTTAATGCACAATGGTATGTTGCAATAAGGTTATTTATTTATTCAGAACAATAAGGTACGACTCTCAAATTAGCTTCCATCATGTATTATAAGGATCTCTAATAAAAGTGGCACATAGCCACTGGAAGATTAAAAAAAAAAAAAGAATTACTACTTCACAAAACATGAATAATTTTCCAAAATCTAAGCAAAATTTGTGAATTTAGAATCAGGTTTTCTTAAAGGGACGATAAGAGAATTGTTATAGGCAATATTGTCACAATACACCATGTTTGATCAAGTTAACAAAGATAAGAGAAGTTTAATACCTGGATACAGATTATACCAGGTAGTTTACCTGATCTATTGCTCAATCAAATATTGTGAAATCTATACTGTAAATTTCAAGTGTATTGTCATCAGAGTCAATTATCACATTGCTTTTAGGTAAATTAACAATAATTTACATCCACTTTGTCTTCTATCAAACAATTTCAATAACCTATTGTCTATTATCAAGATCATTTTAAGCAATATATGATAACACACAACCTCAATTTGCTTTCTAAAAACTCATTGATTGCTGTCTGAAGTAGATGTTTTCTAATTGAAATTGTCAATCAGGGACAAATTTTGAACTTCTGTGTTTTGAGGCTAGAGTTTCTTCATGAAGAACAAAATTGAGAAATAGAAACTTTCAACATTAGTATGCCTTTTTAGTATTGAAAAGATTTAAATCTTTTTGGTTTTTTTTTTGCAATATTTACAGACAAAAATTAGTCATAATTGGTGTCTTAATGTAAATATTTACTTTAAACTTTGTATCTTTCAGACACTTTCCTCAAGATATAAAGGACAAAATTGAGCAATAGTATTTTATACTATTATATATATATATATACTATCTTTATATTTTTATTAGTTGACCTATTGCAAAAGTTTAATCGTTGGGGCAATATTAGTCATAAGTGGTAACTTGGATGTAAATATTTACATAAGGCTTTGTACCTTTCAACCAGAACATTCAACAAAAAACTTTAGAAGTAAAGGACAAAATTGAGCAATGAATAGATCTATGTGTCACTTGTGAAATATTGAGCAATACCTATTACAATGTTTATCTTTGTTCCAAACTAGTATGTATGTATCACTTATAAGAATTGAAATTCCGAAAATTAACATTTTTGAATAATTGTTCAATCCATGAAGAGTTTATTTATGCTACTGTCACATCATTAAGTATTGATTATATGCAACTTACTAACTGAATGTGTTGCAATGAATGACTCAATATATTTAACATTTTGAAATATCATGCAATGCTCTCATCAGAACATCTTCATTAGATCAAAATAAAAGTTAATTTTTTATTGTATAAAAAATACTGCCACTGCCAATTAGTATCAAACTTGTATGTAAGTGATTTTCTGTGATTCCTTGCTGAACATCAGGCATCAACTTACCAACGATGGGGTCTGCGATTTTTTTCTTGGTATAGGTCAAACTCAGTTTTGCCAGTCAAGGCTGCAGGGCTGAAGAGCTGATATTGGAAAAGTGTTAGTGTTTAGTGTTCTGATGGAAAAATATATCGAGGCCCTGTGTGCTATAGGTTGCATATTAATGTTTCTTTGACAGTTAGAAATTGACATTTATGAGTTGACCAAGTTTTTCTATTTACTGCATGTTGATGCCTGTCTTTATTAGCCTAATTTGGAGCAGAAAAAGTAGGACGAAAAACACCATGTCATTTCACAGTTTTATTTATTTATCACCAAGGTCTGATCTGAATTTTCAGTAACAGCTACAGACATCAATTTATTAACTTTATGACAAAATGAATTGTTTCTTACCGCCACCTACACCATTCTACCATCACAAACATGTTTTTATAATATACATTTTGGCTAGTTTAATTTAATTTGGTGTAGTTGATCTATAAGTTAGAAGTAAGTCAAGATAATGATGGTGATTATGGAAGATATAAACAGTTCAGTAATATATCTTGTATAATTAATATCATCAGTTTATATTCCAAATAGTTTCTTTCACTTTTCTTTATTTTAATATCTATTCATCAAAATTAATGCTAAACTTTTTTCTAGATTCGCATACTTACAGTATACTTAATTGGAGCTATATGCTCTATTTTTTTTTTGCCTTTGGAAAATGATAATTGACAAGATGTTGCACAACAATCAAACATGTTTCAAAATACTGTGTCAATGCCTGAGCTAGTCTAGATGTTGTGTCATGCGCAAACCAGTTCATGTTTACTTTTTTTGAAACTTCTGATGACTTCTCTTTGGAGGAGTCCCCTACTATACAACTTTCACTGCAGATTTTTGGATGGAATATTTGATTGAAATTATATTTCATCATATACATTTTTACATAACCTTGTGGATGTATTGAATATTAATTAAAATTTAGGAGTAAAATCTTTTCAATGATGTGTTTCCTTGGCTATCTTCAGTAAAAATCTTTAAGTTTTTGAGTGTACCACATCTCATAAATATGGTCACAAGAATATAGGAATCTAGAAATTCAGGATTTTCATTTACTTCATTTCAGTATTAACTTCAAGGACTTAAACAAAATCAAAATACCCAAGTGTAAAAATGACTAAGTTTTATAATAATTTAGAAAGATGGCAAAACCACGTCATAAACTTTAGAATATCAAATGGCCAGAAATAGACCCTAGAAAATATCATGATGGCGAAAATATACTGTTGAGATTGTTCTTGCTATGATTGAAATCCCTATGGAATAATGTATTTAAGTCATACAAAATGTTTGCACTCAGATGTTTTTAGTTAACTCTAAGATATATTTTTGGTATTGTAAATTATTAAAGACAGGTTACTAATTTTGTAGTTCTCGTAGAGATTTTAACTAGTCTGTTCTATGGTATCATGATTAAACTTTGTAATTTCTCTAAACATATGTAAACACAAACAGAACATATCATAGATGAAACAGATACCAAATCTTAATCTTGAAAAGTGATACTGGTAAATTATGTTAGGGTGACAAAGTTGGGATATATGTCTGTTGTTTATATACTTGAAACCATGTTAAACTACCTTAATATACTAGATATAAAATGAACTACCCTATGTTTATTTTGGGTTTATCAGGTGTTGTTCAATACATAAAACACCCACCTAATCTTATCATGTGGTTAATCATATGACTGGAGGTTACACCAGGTCACCTATATTTCTCATTTTTCTTATCAAACCATGCGAACAAATATTTAAACAAATAATGCAAGATCTTTTATAAAAATGAAATAAAGAGAAAATATTTCCCAATTGTCAGAAACTTAATATCAAGGATCAAGTTTTACATCAAAGTGAAGAAATTAGGTATGTTAAAGTTCAAATAAATTGTTGCATTCATATTAGAACAAGAAACCTTTTAAAGAAATCTCACTCAAAACATACCTTT